CTGTGTTACGGTCATATAACTCAGTATGTGATTTAGGTATTAGGTATCCTCTGAACTTAACGTTTATAGAGCACGCCCAGTCTCTTGTTTCCAAGTGTGGGTGCTTGGTTGGCATTTTGCTTGGACACTCATATGCCATTAAGGCTAAGCTACCCTAATTCAAGGTATTGATCCGCCCACTACTTGAACATAGCGCAGCCATCTGCAGCAATACGTATGCTTCGGATGAGATACGCATTGAGAATTTTCTGGGAAAATCTACTCGCCGCATACTAGGCCGCTGTGAAGAACTTGATTACGAGGGAAGGTGCACGAGAATGAAGATTGACCCACTTTGGCTAAGGTCTCTGGAGCTCAGACTAGACCTGTTTTTTCGCCTTTTGCGTGGCATCACTCATGCTTATTGTTTTCTTACTTTTAAGCCTACGTCCTCATATGGTCTCCGCAATCCTGACGGTACCGTACCTATCGACAAATACAGCCTTGAACTTAGGTCACGATTCTTTATGATGCGGTACAGCAAGTTACGGAATAGGTAGGCCCCTACTTTGCATTTGCACTTACATGCCCCTATTTCAGTTCCAAAGTTCACCCAAAGAATTCTCCCAGTTCACGGATATGCAAAAATTTCTTGACAGTTGTGTTATATCTACGAATAAAAGGTATAATGGAGCTGTAGGGACTTAACCGTTGTCAAGTCATTGCGTCCACTGATAGAACAATCAGTTAGAATGGATAAAGTTGCTATAAAGCATCATTTTCACTCAACTTGTGCACAGTTATCCCTCCGAACTACTTTTCTGCACAATTTACATGCGTGCTTGCGCCTATGATGGCGGGTGCGTTTAAAACAAAACAAAAGTAATGTTAAAATAATAGAAATTAAGAATGTGGTCACCGAAGATATAAACTCATCATTCCAATCGTCTCTGCTCGCCCTACACTACCACATTGCCTCCGCAACCCAGATATGGTCGCACCCAATGGAACACCATGGTAGTCTTTCCCCTACTACTATATAGGGCGTGTGTACCGCTGCTGCAAAGGGCACGGGTTTTATCCAGAGTTCCATAATTTCACTTGACTTTTGCACGTAAGGTTTCTGCAAATAAGCGAATAAGTGGTTCCAAATTTTCACTTCTTTCTATTCCGTAGCGATATCTTCGGTTTCGGTGTTGATTTCATCACTTTCGTGTGTACCTTCGTCTTCTTCCCCGTCAGGCGACATCTAAGTAGTTGGTTTGGGTCACTTCATGAAGTGACTTCTTTAGCCAGGACAATTAACTCACTATATATCATTACTGATATGTTTCCAAGTGGTATTTTTGCGCTTCTGTTTCGTGTTTGGCCGGCTGCTCTCCTCCGTTATTCTTTTTTAAGGTGTAAATGATCTGTCCTTCACTCATGTGGAATCCCAGTAATCGCTACTGTCAATGTATGCCATGTCACCACAACTTTATGAGAAATGCAAATGACTCAAGGTCATGGCTTAACAACCCGCCACGCCTCTAAGATTATTCGATGGTTCAAAGAATGGCTGAAAGAAACACGATTTCGAACTGAACCTGGATTAATTTGCCGAACAATTATGTAGGTGTCTTACTATTTATTGCTTGTTATTTACTTAACAATAATGTTCTTTAAACTCACCTCTCATATGCCCTAAACAACGATTTTCAACTTATTGTTTGTTATTGTGCGTAACAATGTATTCGTGTTACCAATATGATCATGCCCGTAAATTGTTTCGCTTTTATGTAGCTTACGTTGTATGAAATATATAATATATATATAATATATATAATATATATATAGTAAGTAGTGACGATAGTTTATGCTACAGAAGACCATTCACCTGACACTTATACATTTTAATTGAGTATTTGTTTATCTGAAAACTGGCATTATTGGGCACCGAGAAGGTGCACTGCAAGTTCATTTGGTGGAAAATAAGTTCTCAGAATCAATAATCTGTCTCTGAAGAATATCTTAGTTTGCTGCCGCTTTTTTGGTATCAGCAGACCTATTGATCTTGAACTAAGCAACCAAGCATCCACTTCACAGTCAACGAACTTATAGGCTGGTTGATGTTCTGCAACAGATGGGTTGGGACGCTCACTGAGCTTGTCAAGGTGTATTGGAAAGCTGGACAACCACACGATCAAGTCACATGTTCTCTATAACGGTCCATTCCACGCTCAGCTTTGAATTTTCGCAAGCGATGTACTGGCATGGTTAGCCCCATGTATGGCAAGAGCAACGCGCGAAGTGAGTTTAGGATAAACTGTTGTGGGTCTTAATGGAAGATTCAAACCAATGTCTATGCTGAATTGGGAGACAAATTTTTTCCATGCACAATCTTTCGTATGGAACAAAACCTAGTTTTGGCTGCAAACTTTTGGACCATGAGATGATTTACAGGGCCGTAATTCCGACTGGCCAGTATTTACAAACACTATAGTGAACTGAACCCACTGGTGCACTTTAGCACCTTCTGGAAGCAGAAAGACCGTTGATCGACAGTCTTAGCGTCAAAGTCACATACACTGAGTTGACGTTGATAAAAACATACGTTTCTGAGTTCTGATAAAATCTGTGTGATAATCCTTTAGGAAGGGATTTCACACTTTCCTTAATCCTTTAGATGGCCATATACCCCTTCTCATTACAAGACTGCAGTGCCTAAACTCCAGATGATAGGCCACATGATACAAACTTTCAAGGCGATTCAACGAAACAACTCAGTGAAACGCGGACCTACAATCCTGATGAAGTAGCCAATTCATGATAGCTTGTGTGAGAACCTGAAGGACGCTGATATGATTTTACCCAGCATCTTCCAGTAAGAAAGGAGAGTTTGATTTCTATTAATTTACTAAGTGCACTAGATAGGTGAACTAATGTTACCGACCCTCAAGATAGAAGAATGTGCTATTTCGGTTTTTCTAACATCTTTGGTCGTGCCGAACACGACTGTCCCGCTAACCATTCGAGGTTATTAGGGAGTAATTCTCTAATAACGGATTGGTCATCACATGTAAGGGGACTCTTCTAAATGTCCGAACAAACCAAAAATCCTACTGAAGACCACCATTATCAACCATTACAAACTTACCTGAGTCCGACTTTCATGAATGATTTACCTCTACGGTTGTCTTCTGAAATAGCTGTCTTTACTGATGACACAAAACTAGGGAGAGGATTCAGAAATGACTCCCATAGCCTGACATTGTGAACTGATTTGACTCAACCTTCAAATAAGGAAAATGTAAAGTGATCCACAGATGGCTGGATTCGAGCTGCACACACAGACAGTGGGATATTTCTGAAGGCGTCTTGTTTCTTCCTGAACTGGAGTCGTGCTCTAGTCTTGATATTGATGCATTTCGCGCCAACCTTGCGCTTGCAGCTCTGCGATTAACCTCAGAAGTAGTGGTCACAATTGTTTTTGACCAAGCTATATAAGGTTCATATGGCTCCACCCGGAACTGAGCGCTATTATCCTTCTCCCTTCACTTCAAATAGATGAGAACCATGTGGGCGCATTCAGAAACATCATACTAAGTCCGCCGTACAACCGTGGTCTAAACTATATGAGAAAGTAACAGCAGTACTCTGTTTATGTCCCTCGGAATACAGGTGACTGACAAGCGACCTGATACAGGCCAACCGCTTCATTACTCACCTAAGCCTAACTTAAGCACTAGTCTTGAAATGTATACGCAGAAATTTGAGGCTTAACATAATTAAGCTGACATTGGGTCATGCTTCCACTTCTCTAACAAACCTTCAGGTGCTCATATCCTATGCATTGGTTGACTCACAGTATCGCATTCCCTCAAACAAAGCTTGATGCTTTTAGGGATCTTAGTACGAATTTGAAAACCTGACAACTTCTGAAATGAATTTCTCCTTCTTTCGTGCCCACAGATTTCTGGAACGACTATTCAACTAGTTCTATATGCTGGAGATAGTCAAGCGAAAACTTATACACTTATTTATTGATTAGTTGGGAAAAGTTCAGAAACATTGGACGGGTTGGGTTCACAACTTGTAGATATTTACCCACTAATTACATGCTCCTGGCAAGATAATCCTCACTTTGCTTGAAAAGGAGCGTTTGCATACTTTGTCAGTTCACATTTAAGTGGCTTTAAAACCTATCCTTGTAGAAGGCATCCCTCGTCTACTTTAGGTGTGATTGAAGAGTGAAGTTTGATAGGAATTTGTGAAGATACGAGTATGTCTTAACATACGACTATTCATGCAATCAGGATGCATTCTGGTGATAAATCACTTTGGATTCAGCTTAATCTGCAGTGCCACGTCAAATTAAACCTAGATAAACATCACTGAAGGTCAACCCTTGGGTTAGAGCGTCCTTCAAAGTTGGTGGTGAGGAATGGGTCATTCGGAGGTAGATATTGCAGGCGTTGAGCTTTATAATTTACGTCCAACACTCCTTCATGGATATATTTTGCCATTCCTAATTGTATACTCTATTTGGATTGGGTACTGGATCAATGTGTTAGGGTTTCAGGAGTATATGGAATTTGGTTTGATCGTTGTTGCGGTTATCGGATTTGTACAAATAATTGTTTGCCTCTGCTGTCACTGGTTTGTTGGATTTAAGTGTTTGATGACTTGTCAAAAGGTAGGCATTCTTATCGGAAATGATTTTCTCGTAGGAATGCAGTGTCGCAGCATCCGAGTACGTCAAAGTAATGCCAACCCCTAATACAGGATATCCAATGGTGGTAAAGATTGAAAAGCAGGAGGTTAGAATCGTTAACCATGACTCTCATTGTACTTCAGGACCGGTCATCAGAAGGAACCACGTACTCGTTTTATTTCCAGCGGCTGAAATACACTTTCAAGACCGATAAGAAAGACAGTTTTCAGCCTGTTGAATTCCCAGTTGATTGGGATATGAAAGCTACCTTAGTTGGAGAGGCTATGAAACAGTTGATCAGCAAATCGTGGCACAGCATAAATACGGAATGAATGAGTAATATTCGTTCATTATGAGTAACTGTTAGACTACATCTAGATGTACCTTCCTTCGCAGAATTATTCAAGGAGCGTGCAACTGCTCCATTTTTTGTTTTCCAAGTGTTCTCTGTTGGGCTATGGTGTTTGGATGAATATTGGGTGTATCCGTTGCTCGTTTTGGGTATGCTATGTCTCTTCGAAGCCAGCTTAGTACAACAACAGCTGAAAAATCTGTCTGAGATACGCTCAATGTCTGAAAAGCCGTATAACATCCACGTAAGTTGTGTCAATGAAGTAATATCCCACTAACCGTTCATGATTGGCGTACTAACTGGGTTTTAAAGTTTTGAGTGGATAGATTTAAAAATTCCCCTCAATAGTTGCTGATTTATCAGAGATTGGAATAAGCACGTTTTTATGCCCTTCCTGTGAGTTTGTATTCGTTTGAATTAACCCAGTTGAGTGAGGATATATTAGAGTTTAACTAATAGACATCTTGATTGGGTGTTAGTTTTCTCTAGTGCTATTACTTCTGCAGTTACAAGGTGGGGTTATTATTTTTGTCTTGAAATTCGTTTACCGTTGACCAGACAAGTGTTTGTAAATCATGTCTTTTAGGTAAGGTAAAATAACTTTAAAGCTTAGCTTCTGTTCAAATAAACCTGAGCTGTGTAATCCTAATAAACTGGGTTTTCGGTAAGTGCCGTTAGTGTATTTACGCCGACATGAGGTGATTGTACTGTTTCGAACTAATCGTATCCTAAGGTCATGCACATGTATGTAGTCATACATGACATTGAGCCAGTTTTGCCGTAAATGAAAGCAGATTATAATTAATCATATTTAGTGTGATGGGATGAGCATTTTAATACTTCTTATTTCTTTGGATTCCCGTAGTTTTCTACTTATATGTTTACATATTGTTAAGGTTTATCGCCAGAAAAAGTGGACTCGTGTGCGTACTGACCAGCTAATTGCCGGAGATATCGTGTCTATATCGGAGAGTGATCAAAAGTTTTGTATTCCGGCTGACTTGCTGCTCCTAAGAGGCAGTTGCATCGTAGATGAATCCATGCTCACTGGAGAATCAGTGCCTGTTAGCAAAGTGAGTTGTTACAGTTTATTTGCATCAATATAAGATTTTCCTGACTTTACTAGTTAGGACAAAGTTAAAACATCGTACCGTACTTGAGGGGCTCTTGAGCTGTCTTTCTGACTCTCGATCCAACAGCTTTTTAGCTTACGTTATTTAGATACACGTTCGCCAAAACGAGCAACGAAGCTTTATGTTTTGAGCAAATAACCAAGCATTTTAAGGTTCTTACACTTTTACTGCGTGAACTTGAAGAAATTGGGAAGAAAGAATTAGTGATTTTTCAGTGAGGTGGCCATCTTAATGTTAAGGTGTAAACCTAACTGGAACTACCTAAACTCTACTATTTAATTTGAAGTACACCAATCATCAACTCCAGACCATAAAATGACGAGAAAGCAGGGAGTCTTCTTTTCATTGCCGATACTCAACTAATCAAACATTGCTTCATAAGAGAACTAGTTGTTAACGAGACTATAATGATTTATTGATGTTAAAAACAAAACAAATTAATGAACATGAATACAGAAATACGGATCACTGTCCTATCACTTCGTATTTAATAAAACTACCGTTACTTGTTGCCAGACAGTTACATAAAGATGTAGCACAATTGCATGTTACATCTGAAGTTGTCACTTATCCACATGATATCCAAACCAGAAAACCGATTCTCTTGACAGTTCAAACAAGTCTTCACTTAGTTCACACACTGATCGCTGATAACTCCTACCTTGACACGTGGTGGTTGGGCTTGCATATCAAAATGACCCAGTGAGCTACGCTGACTGGAACACTTGTTCCTTGAGGTTCTACCCTGCCACGCAGTAGGCGTGACCTTTTGTCTACCGCACATGGTTGCTGAATGCATTTTGATTCGGTTGGTTTGATTCTGTGCTTCCACAGGTTCTTAAACGTGTCATTTTGTATGTAGTTGCATTCATCCCCTCTTAGCACCATTCCTTGTGGTAGAGAATATTTGTAGCTTACAGATACCCTCATCGTTGTAGGCAGTATATATCAAAAATCCTTTTCGGTCACTTCTGTGATCAGATGTCCTCCTGTTTGAAAAACTTTTGCTCAATTGTTAAAGCGCTTTTTGGTTGTAGGATCCTTGTGAAACCCTCAAAGCAGACGAGCAGTTCACGTTCGACGATAGTCACAAAACTCAAATATTGTTTGGTGGCACTAAAGTAGTACAGTTCACCGCTCCATCGAAGTCTTCAAACCATTTAAAAGGTTTGTTACATTTTTGTTTAGTGTTCTTGTTATATTTTACATATTTCAAAGAAGCTTCAGTAAGATACGTATGTGGTACTTTCCATGCGAATATTCTCACTAAAAGAGTTTAATTTGACGAACAATATTTCTTGATTGTTGCCTTGCTGAATGAGTGCAGAAAGAGTGAAAAAGTGTGTTATCAATTATTACTATCCTTGGTACGCGGATAACTGCTCTAAATTTATTAATCTTATCACAGCTATGTTAATGTCTACCGACTTATACTAGGTCACATGGATTTTTCCATCTTTTCGTATGCTGTGGTAGTCCAGGCCTCCAGTTCACAGCTCAAGTAGGACTACGTAAAGGGACATTGTACCTTGGATATCAGATTTGTGGCATTGTGCTCAGCTGGGTGAGCGTATGACATTTAAAATGTGTCTACATATGTGTTTCCCACTTTGTAAACAATAATACTGGAATCTGATAACGAATGTGGACATAGGAAATAGTAACATTTTTTCTTCATTGATTATTTTACGTGAGTCATCAGCCATCGTGATGGTTGTAGTTATGCACTGAAAATAACCTGTACTCTACATTTCAAGCCACAAATAGTGGCAGAAAAAGCTTTCTCATACTTTCGAGGTCAGTATGCATTCGTTTTTAGACAAGTTGAGATATGTCTTACGAATATAAATGAAGGTATTTTTATTACTAGCATTTCTTTCCAATAATAGCTAACATTCCCCCCCCCTTCACTTTTGTGGCTCACTGAAGTGTTTGGTGCCAGAGAAGTAAGATTTTACGTGTAATAGGTTAATACTTCATTTTTATACATGTGTCTACTCGTCTTATCACTGACAGAGTTTAATTCTACATTAAGGCAGTTTATTAGACACTTCCTAGTGACACAGTGCTATTTCCTGTGTACTATATCAGACAAATCAATCTAATATAAAATTACTTCACTCACCCTACAGGTCTTTTACATGGAGTAACTGTCGAATAATTGAACAATGTATAGGTTTTTGACTCAAGATCCACTAGATTACAATGAATTGTGGGTTAGAAATCCAAGAGGTTTTTTTGGCGTTTGGTTTGCAACCGTATAAAAATCGAATTGCTTCTATGCTTTTCATTGGTAATTAACATTCTGTTTTTCTGAATCATTTCCTCTGACCGCTTAGCAACCCCTTTTAGCTTAGTCTATGAAGTCATATCGTTGGTTCAAGACGTGTAAGGGAATGTAGACTTCCCACTTGAGGTCCACGTGACAATCGAAGCCGATGGTTAGACACTTAATGAAATAATTCATAATCTCTTTCAGCGACATAGATGCATCCTCATCTTTTCTTAATTCTAACCAATGATGTTTGATTGTCTCTTTCAACTTCGTTCTTTAATCTTAAATCCTGTATTATAAAGGGGTGATTTTGAAGTGTAGGAACTCAGACCGTTAAGCATCGTCACTGAGTCCCACGTTACTTGGTATTTGCTGCAGTACTTATTTTATCATCTGGTACTTTTGGCGATGTTATCTGATGTCGATGGAAAAACTTTTCAAAGTTGTATCCTTACGTAGTTTTTTAATTGTAAGCTGTTCATACAAGTTGAAACTTGGTCACAAAATACGTTTCTTTCCTTGTTATGAACAAAACTACTGGATACTTTTACAACTCGAAATCATTCACCTGTGCAGATGTATCAATTTTGTTATTAATACAGCTTTAAACACTTTAGTAGCTCTTCGATTTTATTTTTCTTCTTTCCTCTCTTCCTTGTTTGTCTATCGTGTTCTTACTTCACCGTTTTCTGCTCCTGTATATATATAGTAAGTTTTTTCTGGTGCTTATAATAAGTTTACGAACCGAAGCTGGTAGTTGGAAGCTGGTTGATTTGGCTTAGAATCAATCGCAGTGGTATAGACGCTTCGTAGCTTATCTCCATTTGAACCTTGACATTACACTTTTTTGTTTGCTTTTACTCCCGTTTTTTCTGCCATGGTGCTTTCTACGATACCTGACTATACTATTGTCATCTATTTTTGTTTCTTCGCGTTTTCCCCTACTTTATTGTTGCACGACCTGCCATTTGCTGATATAAGGTGTGATAACTTGAACCAAGAAGCTTGGATATATATCACTTTGATGTGAGGTATTCTGTTCTATATCTGTGCGATCTGTAGAATAAGTATCCGACAGCTGTATTCTGTCACTGGTGTTTCCGTAGTACTAATCTCACCGGAATCCATGTCACCGTCAACCCTCTTTCAACATTATTCGACTTCCCTTCGATCTCATACGACATATGTATATGAGGGTGACCAGACCAAAACCTGGCACCATTTGATGGTCTATTACTGTTGGTCTAAGTTGTGTAAGGGCGGTGTACAATACCTGGTCGGGCTCTCCGAGATGATAGGAGTTAGTAGTTGAGCGCTCTTGGTAACATGACTGGAAATCAGTCACAACTGCCCAAATCCATTCACTCCTTGACATCTAAAGTTTGAGTAATCACACTAACCGTTATCTCCAAGTTGTTTATTCTCTCACACAACTTCGCATATTTTGCTATCACTCTTTTTCTATGCAACTGTTCTTGGTGGCAACTTGAACCGATCCACTTGTGTGCGGGGTTCTATGTTGGTTTTGTTAGTCAGTATGAGATTGCTTGTCTGAACGTTGCATAAGATTGCTTCTCTGATCACTCACTCTCTGTTTCTTTTATGTCTTCATAGTGTGGTATTAGTGTCGCATAGTTCATGATGCCTATTTTATATTAAGTAATAAGTATAAAAATCTATAAATAACTAGTTTCACTATATTTTAGTAGCGTACACCTTCGTGATGGTTAGAACTGTACACCCTTTATTCTGTTAAGTATATTGCATTTAATTAGTTTGGTTTCTACCTTTTGAATTGGGTGTACGTTATTTAATTTGTTCGAACATGTATTCGAAGTCATGTTTTCAGTCTTGAGATTCTCATCGTTGTCTACGCTTAGTTTTGTAATGTGTAGCGTAATTTTTCGACTCACCGTAGTTTGTTTTTATTATTTTTAGCACCGGATAACGGTTGCGTCTGCTTCGTACTTCGCACTGGTCTGAGTACTTCACAGGGTCGTTTATTAAAAACTATTATGTATAGTGTGAAGGCAGTTACGGCGAACAATGCAGAAAGTTTTCTGTTCATAGTATTCTTATTAATTTTCGCGCTGATTGCTTCACTATATGTATGGATAGAAGGTAATTCGATTTTCTTATTCACAAAATATTTTGAGTTTTTTAAAGGCTGCTTGTTACAACTCTACATATTGTAACTTTGCAGCGTAGTTTTAATTTTTCTTCCTAAAAAATAGTTTATCAGTGGGGAATTAATTCCTCTGTGTACTCGTATAATTTTTCGGTGTACCAAAGTTTAAATCAGAAATTCCTGCTATGAATAAATTCAGGGCAGTAAAATTGAGGAAATATTTTGACTTATGGTTTATGTGGTTTCATATATACATACGTACTTTTAAACAGTGTATCTGTTTGAATGAGTCACCTTCGGACCTAAAACTTACCTTTCATTTTCAAACTTCTTCAATATATGGAAAATGTCCATTACAATATTTTACAAGACGAGGGAGTTCAGTGAAAGAATATTTTTTGGTGATTGCAGTCCGTACAGCCATACAGTTGCAATTTATGCATTTCAGTTGATGATGGTTTTTAGGTAAAGATCTTAGGTTTATTTTTGCACATAATGCCGAAGTTAAAACTGAATAAAGGTTATAAAAATGGTGTAATATGATCAAGTATCATAAAAAGTAAAGATTAACCATAAAGGGATGCGGAAACTGTATAGATTTCAACATAAAGTTGTTTAGTTTGTCAGGATAGTTTACAAAAGAAGCGTGGAAATAATATAAAGCTAATTATCTACTGATGGTAAGTAAAATAAAAGTGCTGACTTACAAATTTGGTGACTATTATTATTATTATTATTTGTCCCTTAGGTTCCTAGTGGAACATAGGGCTTCAGTAGCACATCTCCGGCGCACTCTGTTATCTGAAATCTTTCGAACCTGGCTCCACGACAGCCCAGAAGCTCTCATTTCTTCCTCGCACGGTTTCCTCCATGTCATCCTCGGACGCCCAACTCTTCGTTTCCCATCTGGTTTCCACTCGAGGGACTGGCCTGACGCGTGATGTCCCCAGTCGGCCTTCTCATTGTATGCCCAGTCCATCTCCACTTCCTTCTGCATATTTGTTGAGTGATAGATTCTTGGTTGGTTCGTTGCCAGAGTGAGTTCCTTGTTGCTTATTCTAATTAGTCTGGCCACCTGAGCTTAAGTAACGAGCGTAAGCAGTTGTTGATGAATGTCTGTAGTTTGTTGGAAATGCGTTTCGTAACGCACCAAGTTTCTGAATCATATAGAAATACTTACTGACTTGACATTGGTGTTGAAAATCCGAATGTTGTTCACGCTTTATGCTGAGTGCAGAAGATCTCCACACTGGTTTCAGGTTGATGAACGTCTGTCTTGCTTTTCCGATCCTGGCTTTGACGTCCTCGTCTTTTCCGCCTGTAGTTAAAACAGTGCTGCCTAGATAGGTGAAAGAGGCTGCTTCCTTTAAGTTTCTCCCGTTGATAGTGATTGGATCTTGTTGTTGGTTGGGTATGTTCATCACCTCTGTCTTCTCTACATTCACTTGAAGTCCCGTCTTCGCTGCCTCTTCTGTCAACTTATTAGTTTTCGCCTGTAGATCTTCTGGTTTGCATGACATTAGACACAAGTCATCGGCGAAATCCAAATCTTCTAGGATCTTTTGCCTGGTCCAGCGTATCCCCCTCTTTTCGCTCCTCACAGTTTGTTGCGTGATCCAGTCGACTGTTAAAATCAAGGTTGGACACGTATCTTTAGTGCGTATAATTTCAGCATCCGTGTACTTACAGAAAAGCTTAGTTCCAAAAAGTCGTCGCTGTAGTGAGTTTCTTTGGGGTTTATTTCAAGTATTTTTTCCCACAAATAGGACTGTGTATCTGTTTTCACTTTGATGTTTTTGGAAAGAATAAGGTCTTCTAAGTGGTCAGAACTACAAATTCATCAATTACGATGGGAGAAATGACGTGGTCAGAGTTGTGTTTTGATTTTGATGTAATACAGAAGTTGGTCAGCTAGTTATTCCATATGCACTTGTAAATAGGTCTCTTCAACATCTTGTCATTTCTTCTAATCAACTCTACGTTAGAAAATGGAATTTTATAAAATATGGTCGGATTTAATTGAGGTATAAAAACTATCATTTTCTTTAGAACATAATTCAAATGACAATCATTACAATAGATTATGAAAATTTCGTCTACAGACTTTTTGTACACAAAAGCTCGTTGATTGTTGACTTATGACCCTTGTTTTCGTCACTAGACATAGGGTAATCTGTTAGTTGATTAAAAAGAGAGTCTGTGACAATCCCATATATTTGTCTGTAGATTATACTGACCAAGGTGAAATGTACGTTATGTGTGTATACCTTAGCAGTAATTATCTTATGTATAAGGTGCTTTTTCTAATGTTCAAGTTATTGTTGTCCCTGTATGCACACAGGAAACTCTCTATGAGCAGACTGTCAGTAAAAACAGGTTTTCCAAACTCATGCAAGTCTTTTATGCAGTTGGAGAATTTGAAACTGTACTTAATATAAGAACACCTGCTCTTTTATTGTGTATTAATGGTTCTAATCTAATTTTTTAAAGCAATCGTTGTTTTATGCTTTACTGCCTTTCAAATTTAGGTACATCTGATCCCCGTCGAAATCGGTATAAACTGTTCCTAGAATGTACGCTTATCCTGACATCTGTTATACCTCAGGAACTACCATTGGAATTATCCTTAGCTGTGAATTCATCTTTAGTTGCATTGTGCAAACTTAGTGAGTTTTGTTCAGTATGCCATTAATTGTTCTGAGACTTTTTTGAAGGAATTCTTATACTGAATAAAGTTGTGTAAGTTATCAGAGTTTAGACATCAAAGAAGTTGGCAGGTTATTTCATAGTAAGGTTTATGTCTCACACTAGGTAATTATCAATCCATTTTAGAACCAGCAGAAAAACGGCTACATTTCCTTTATTTTAAATACTTTGGTAAAACAATTTCTGCCTTATTTATAGATAAGCTATTAACCCGTTGTGAAGAGAGTATGAATAATCTCATTGCAGTTGTTATTACCTTGAGACTAACAGTCACTGATTTTGGTGACGACTACCATATCCTTATCTGTTTACTCGTACATTGCTTCCAATGTAATCCTATTTCACATAACATTGAGTGTCGAAGTAGACATTGGCTTGGAAAATATAATTCATATTCCGACCACTTCACCCGACCGAAATTCATAACGTTGGTTTATTTACCTTTATTACTGAATACACTGCATCCAAATTCTCTTTGTTTTTCACATGATTCTGCAGTACACAAGGTATACTGCGAAGGCGAATTCCTCATCTTTGATGATCGTATTTCACAAGCATATAATAAGAGAGATTACCACTACGAACTACATGGCACTAAGTAAGTATTCAGATATTTCGTTAGTATTACGAGGATAAGAAGCTAGTAAAAGTCAACTGAACCTTATGTATCCATATTAGAATACTATCCAACATGACATTGGTACTTATACTTGACTTCTTAGACGAGCAGTGATCAACACGCTCAACCACTTCGTTCTCTGTTATTCGATTTCGCATTGAAGAAGGCGAATTTCGAAGCAGGAATTTTCATTTGGAGTACAAAAGGATTCAAAATGTAAGTTTAAAAAGATCATCCAACAGAAATATGTAATCTGCTTACTATCAGTCGATTGGCAGATAGCCAGCAAAGAGTTCAATTCGTGTGAATTTAGAGGAAAATACCATCTCCACAAGCTTGCCTGTGATAAAGTTCAAAGTGAGTAGGCATTTGCTATGCGTAACAGTCAAGTAAACTACTCTAAAGAGTAGCTTTATGATAAACTAGTGAATAACCATGCATGAATTTTCGTTGACCATTCAATTTATATTGGATGAGGTTAGTGGAATTGTCGCCTAGTGGTTTAGGAAGTTGACTTCCAATCAGTGGGTTGCGGTTTTGAGCACCGCTCCGCCTACTGAGGTTTGGGCATCCAGGTGGTATCGTTAACCCGTACACCAAGGGCGTGGCTCATTGCCTACTGCATGAAAGTGCACAAGGTTGCTGAGTGAATGAGATTAAGTGTAAGGTGCTTCGTAGCTTGCAGAAAATTATACGAATTATAGGCCTTGGTTCTTTGACACAATCTGGTTAAACCAAATTGTTAGGGAGACAGTTATACATGGCTTTCTATCGAGTTATTGATACAGACAAATCTGAAGGAAAAGCAGTCAGAATCATCAATCCCAACTACATACTTTATGTGGTTCTCCAGACTCTCTGCATTTCGATATCGAGGTGTTTTAGCAACTAATCATACTATAATCATGTAGTCTTTTACCTGCACTAACTTTGTAGTGCTAGCCCAGTTACTGGACCTATTTTCAATAGTATTACTGGTTATTTTGTCTGGTAAGGTAGTTTTTTCTCAGGAGTTACGTGGTTAATTTAATGTGTAGTTACTATGATGGCGTTTAGATTTACCCCTGTTCTCGATGGTGATGAAACCTGGACTGAATGACCACTAAACCATAAAACTACTAATGTGTTGACTGAGTTGTGTGTGTCCTTTGGTGCAGTAAATTGTCGCTTGTACACAAACGGTAACATATCTGTGTCATACTAATGAAGCAACTAGTAATCAACCAGAGGTGACACCATGGTTGCCCAGTGGCAGATAAATTCTCAGTGAATTGTTTAAGGTTGCATTTTTGTCTATTGTTTCTGTGATGTCTTTTAACTTCTCGTTGCAAGTAAGCGGTTTGAAATTATTTGAACACGATCATATTCCGGTTTACTTCGGTTACTTTTCCATCTGACCTAAATACTAGATTTAGAGATCAACGTTTATATCCATTGTACTGATTATCATTTTGTTCTTGTAAAGCAGAATTACAGTTTTTGTATTGTAAATTAAAATTTCTTCATTTAAGTGTGATATGTTTTTCAGTGGTCTACTGTACTGAACCTTTTCGAATTCCATTTGCGGGAAAGATTGATATTTGTGCTTTTGACAAAACTGGTACATTGACGGAAGATACGGTTGTAGTTGAGGGTGTAACAGGCTTAAAGTGAGTTAGTATTGATTCATTTTCTAGGAATGCCTTTCAAAAATCATTTGCCATTCTTATGTACTATTTGTATGTAGATTTTGCGCTAAATTTTGTGCAATTATTCGAAATTTTGTCCAGAGTTTGATGGAAAAGTTTGTGTTTATCATCTGGTTGACGTACATTTAGGTATATCGTCTTTGTTTAAATCCTGTGAAATAAATCTACGGACAGCAAGGGGACTTTATGTATGAGTAAGTGACTCTTGTCTGCTTCTGACGTCATGAAAGTCCCTTTTTTTGCCTATATACTAATTGTCTAATCTCCTAATATTCATAACGACATAGTTAAACGCGTTTGGAGAATAGACTAGTTTTCACTGAAGCATTTTATGAGCGAATTCCACCATCCAATCTTTTCAGATCTTTTATATGTTCATGAGTTAGAAATACGTTTTTGAGGTACTCAAGGTGAATTTATTTCTGTTGCTATTTGTTGAGTATTAGTACTCATCAAACAGATATCACTTTCGGATGGTTTGCATATTATTTGCAGTTCTTTAGTTGTTATACAGGATTATCTGTTTCTGATTTTTTACTATCCAATGTCTCAGTTTCAGCATATTTTATCAACTGCTCCTAAATATGTTATCCTGCCCTCTTTAAAAATTCTAACCCTGAATAATCGAATGATAATATTATGCTTCATCGTAACACACAGGTCATTAAATCTCTCATATGATCATGGTGTAACTCAATAGCCATTTACAGCTTCACACATTAAGGTATGAGCAACTTAAGTAGGAGTTCTTGTTTGACCTCATGTATTGTTAGACTGATTTTGTATGTTAAGTGCTGACCGCGTTTTTTAAGCATCGACTTACATGAGGTTGCAGTACATCCAGCTGATGGGGGCCGACAGATGCAGAGTTTAGGCATGAGAATTTGGATATTTGTGATAGAAAAATTTCTTGATCTACCTATTCTCTTCAGGATTACTATCTTCCTGTCAACGTGTAATATGGACACTTGTGTGCCAGAATATTGTGTTCGTGTTCTATTCAAACGGAAACTGAACTCTTTTCTTCTTGACAAAGTTTATCAACACAAAAATAATGTGATTTATAGGCTAAAAAAGCTCATTTCTTTATTTCCCAAATTTTATTCAGTTTTAAACAGTATAGTGTATAGGGAATCCCTACTTAATGAAAATTAGCAAATTTAAGCTACAATCCACGAAGAATCATGTGACTCATTTATCAAATAAATTCCCTGTTGATTCTTCTTACATTGTAACTAAAGTGTGATGTCTTTATTGCGTAACGATCCTTTGTTTATTGTGTCTGCAACTGAAGAGAAGCTGTAAAACATAAGATGGGATTTCTTGCTATGTTTATTTCGTTCTTTACACTCTGGTGAAAGCTAGACGGGTTCGGTCAGAGGGGTACCTGATTGTCACTCAACTTGTTTACTCACTGCACTAGAGCGGTGATTGTATTGAAACTCCCATTGAATGAACGTTGAAACAGGATAGCTGGTCAGTTAGGTGACATGTTTACAGAATATAAATTAATTAGTAATAGCCAATCAGGAATAAAATATATAGGTCTCTGGACAACTAACAGATTGTCATCAATAACTATAAGATTGCATTTTTGTCCTCTGAGAAAAATGAAGTCTTTTAAAGTTTTTCTCTTTTCATTCCCTTTCTCTGTTTTTTCTTTCAGTGATCAACCGTCGAATAAGTTGATACCAGTAAAGAACTGTCCACTTTCCACTGTTCAAGTATTAGCTTCTTGTCATTCGTTAATAAATACAAGTGGTTCTGGTCTAATTGGCGATCCTATGGAAAAAGCTATGCTGGCGTCAACTGGTTGGTCATTGAATGATCAAAATGAAGTACATGGACGTACTATACCACGTAGTTCTCCACTGAAGATATGCCAAAGGTAAGCTCAGAAATCAAAAGTATATAAGTGTGTATTCATATAACCTGTTATATTGTTGTGGTTTCTTATATTTTTATTTTTGTCTTTAATAGTCAATAAACAGAATGAGTAGTTGTTTACAATAATGGAGCATTACACAATAACATAAAGTTGTCAGTGTATCTGAATTCCTTGAACTACAGTTGTCAGACTGAATTTTTAAGGATGACTGCACTTTATAATGATTGAAGTCTTTGTTGATATTCCATAATTAGGCTTGAATAAAATTCACAATCAACAGGTGATATATACAAGATTTGACTGTATTTTACTCAGAAAGCTAGTTAACTAAAACGCATAGCCTTGACTAAAAAGGTGAACCAATAAAGCCAGAGATGATTTCGATTAAACACAGATTACCGTTATAAATCGCTTAACTCTCGACATTAGTGTGTTCAAAACGGATATTCTTTGTTAGTTCAGTAAGTCCTTAGTATTAGTAGTGCTTTTTTCTCGAACGTGGATTTCTACGATATTTTTATTAATTTTTTGAAGTGCGTTTGTTTTAGTAATTTTTAAGAAATTCATCTAGGAAAAAAGCAAATATTGTGTGCACATCTGTTAATTGATTTGGGCACTGTTTAAGAGCAGAAAATGTCATCATGCTGTTTACATGGAAACAGTTGGACCAGCATTATACAACGATAATCATTCATCATACATATAAGTCTTTTTTATTTTCACATCTTGGAGTTGTTATACTTCAACAGGTAGCATAGCTTTAGATGTGATTAACTGACTGTCTTCATTATAAAAACCCAATGTTGATGGTGTTATGTTTTCTCAACTGGGTGGTCCAGTCCTGTAGCTGCTTTCATTGTCATTCTGGACATCATCAGCACAAACTTCAGAAAGAAGGGAGCTATACAGTTTTCTCCACAAGTTGTTTAGTAGCTTGTCTTCATGGCCACGTGTGTGGTTGGTTGTTTCTGCCAGTCTTGTCATTGTCTCCATATTTATCTCGATTGGTTATCCTGATGACTTGAAATTCGACCTTCTTGTTGCTTCTTCTTAGTTGATAGATTGGTTCAATATCAATGTTTGTTGATTGCTGACTGATCTGAACACCAAGCTTCTAGAAATTCTCTGCTATTCTTTGTATTTCTTCTACTCAGGATTTCCACATTTTCCAAGTAAAATTCATATCCACAGTTGTCTGTATGCATTGATATGAACAAAGATATGTCATGACGCTTCACTGCTAGTTTAGTGTTCATGCAGATGAATGGGAAGATGGAGACCACTCTATCCGATGTAGCGTTTTTCGCAGTTTCTGCAATTTATTTTGCAGATAATGTTTGATTTGTCGTTCTTTGCTATCGCATCTTTTGGCTTGCATAAGAAAAAACTGAAGAGATTTTGTAGGGTAATGAGCTGCAGCGATCCTAAAAGGCTTCAATAATCTAGTCATGATCTCGGAGATATTCCTCATATCGTCCTCCTCAATTTGGAGGTTTGTGGGGATTTATTTGTTGATTTTAGGTTGGTATTCATTGTGGACTGACATCAGTTGGAGAAAAATTGGGAACCTTGGAGCTCATTGGTGACTGGCTTCGAGATGTGATTCCCGAAGTTCTAATGAGAAGTCGTGACCGATGGGACCAACCAAGTCGGACATGAGGAAAGACACTCAACGAGGGCATTGGAAAGAGGTGGGACTATGTCGTGAACTGACAAAGTAGGAGATATGGACCGCCGGATGTCGCCCCGGTGGGTCAGTGGCCACGTGATGGCCGCGGAACTTGAAGGTCCTGGGTTCAACCCCTAGCGAGGTTATGGGTACTTACCACTGAAGAGTCCGATACTAGTACGAAACAGCTGTCCAGTGCTCCCTGGTTTTCAATGTTCCACCGACTGATGTCAATTTATGATGAATACCAACCTGAAATTTTGACTAATTTAATGGTGTGTTTGTCACCAAATTTGTATTTTATGTGTTTTGTTTTACAATTCTTTTTAAAAATTTAATTGTAAAATTGTTGCAACTCTTAAAATGAAAATAACCAGTGAATTTCTGTGAAACTAGTGAATATTCAAGGATTTTCATAAAACTAACGTATTACATTTTTCTAGATTTCGTTTCGATAGTGCATTACGTCGAATGTCAGTTATTGTCAGTCACTATCTACCATCTTCTGTGGATCAAAATTATTTAGCCTGTGTTAAAGGATCTCCGGAAACAATTCTTCCAATGCTTGTAGATGCACCATTAGACTATGAAGAAGCTTACTTGACCATGGCTAGGCGTGGTGCCCGTGTTTTAGCATTGGGACAGAAGACATTAGGACAGCTTACTCGTGAACAGGTTGGTTTTTGTCAGTTATTCTTATGAATGCTAATTGTTGCAGAGTTCACTTTTCTCTAACTAGTGGGCCACAGATTTGATCGCCACTTTGCCTACCGAGATTCAGGTAGTCACTCAGCATAATCATCTGTAACATAGCAGACATGGTTCATATCTTGGTGCAGAAACCTACACAAGATTGTTAAGTTACATTATTATCAGTATGGTTTGTTAGTTAATAGATGAAAATCCATCGTTATGAACTGACACAGAATCCATTTGCAAGAATCTTAGTTGACGCGTCGTTTGAAGTATGATAGTTACGAAAAGTGGAATATGTTCAGTTAGTTCTTAGTGGGACAAAAAATGGGTTTCTAATCCCACGAGTGCCTGTTATGAAAATTGTAATCATAATTCAATCAAGCGTCCTTATGGGAGGTTTATATGCTATCATGCGTTGATCTGTTCGTTTCAGTTAATCAACAACTGAATAACTAACCTTACAGATAAATGATATCGGGCGCGTAGTGAATGGTCGTTATACCTTGATAAGTTATTGAATAAAGCTTTTATTGTTGAAAACGATGACTTCTGAGGCCTAGTCTTCCTGGGCGAGATTGGGACTTCAGTGCCTGCCTAAACCTTCGGTTACTGAAAATTATTCACTGATTTTACTTCATCAAATTGTTCCGTTTCAATTTATTTTTCTCTTTTGAGTATGTCTTTCAAACCCGTCAATTACTCTTGCACACTTTTAAAGTGGTTTTTAACTGCTGTTTTCCAAGCTAACAACAAAACAGAGAACAAATGTTACACTGGTAAGATATGAACTTATCAATGTACAGAAATACAGTACATTAGTACTCCTTGGATAACGATATTGAATTACAGATTTTGGTACTGGTTGGATAAACTACCAGGACTAAAATTACGCTCGACTTTCTATTTATTCACTAATCCAAGCAGAACGCTAATGTAATACGAGGTGCCTGTTTCATATTGGGACTTTGATTATTATTATTGTTGTTAACATTATTGAAATGCAATTATTATCTTACTTAACTATATATTATACAGGGAATGAATTTGTAGAACTATTACATGCTGAAAATTCCATATTGTACAACAATTCTTGCTTTGAATAAAGCTATTATTCTGAACAAGATAAAATGCCTACTCAAAGTGTTACTTCTTATCAGGATCAGATAGCAGTGAACCCTATCCTATTCATGCATGGGTATTTCCGGGAATCAGACAGATGCCTATATACCCTCTTCAATTATCATTTCTGTATTTTGAATTGACTGATATTTCAACAAAATTTGTAACATAATTTGATGGTTGGAAAGTAGTCGCTGAAACGAAATTTTCACGAAAAATAACTTTTCTAAATTTATTAGAAACTTTGGATTTATGGCCAAGGAATAGATATTTTCTTGTCATTTCACACCTTAGAATAAGCATATATATTTTTGATTTACAAAAAAATCTATTCTAACTATGATATCTCCAATGACTAATTTTATCATATTTCTAATTGTTTTTAGGTTAGAGACTTAACTCGTGAAGCAGTTGAATCGGATATGCACTTTTGTGGTTTTGTCATTATCTCTTGTCCATTGAAACCGGACTCAAGAAGTGTGGTACAACAACTTCATGGTTCTAGTCATCATGTTAGCATGATTACAGGCGATAATCCATTAACTGCTTGTCATGTAAGCTCTATTGTGGGCATTGTTCACTCGGATACTCCTGTGCTTGTATTAAGTCCTCCTAACCCATTACGTAAGTATGATTGTTTTTCTAAAACAATATTTGCTTCAAGTCATTTAAAATGTGGTTTACGATCTTTTTACCATTCAAAAAAGAGGGATTGAAATCTAGAAGTGCGCAGAACTTCAGGAATGCATTTAAATCCAAAAATGTCCTTACATTACTTTGCTCTTTGCATATCTGTTACAGTTTTATGGACAGTTGTGCTTTGGCTCAAATTATTCTTTGTAAACTACTACTTCATTACTAAAAAAATCTTTAGGTTAGATAGAAAAAGCAATTATGCTTGTCTTCATACCATTGCTCTCGTTTGGTGGGATCACTATATGAACAGTGTTGAAGTCAGGCGAAGGATACTAAGCGAGAGAGGCAAGTCGATCGATGAAGTTGTAGACCTTAGTCGACTGAAATGTCTTGAATATGTACTGCGCATGGCATGCCACCACCTACCTCGACGTGCCATGTTGGGTGAAGCTGGATTAGGTTGGAAGAGAGTCCAGAATGGCCAGGCCAAGACGTGGCATAAGTCGATGAAGTCCCTGACTGTCGGTCTGAATCGTGTGATGGTGATGTGAACTGACTGAATGGGGTCCTCGAGACGAAGAGAATTGGTGGTTAGGGACTCTTGGTGGAAATCGGTCACAATAGTGCAGACTAATTCACTCCTTCACGTCTTCCGAAGCTAGATTATTCGCACTAACCTTTACCTTCAGATTATCTATTCTCTCACATTATCTTTGATATCACTCTTTTTCTATCCACCCGTTTGTGTACGACTGGGAACTGTGGCAGCTTGAGCCGATGCACCTGTTTGCGGTGTTCTACGTTGATTTTGTCTGTCTGTCTGTCTATACATGATGCGGCTAAAGACAGTAGTAAATTTAAGCATGCATCTGTCTTTTAAGAAGTATACGGAGCTGGATAGAATTCTTTTATCAAAACAGTGTCTCATTGTCTTACTGCTAATCGATTGTGTTACCCTCCTCAAGGATATCCATTTTACACAGTGGTGTTTAGGAGTTCGTCATCTTATGTTGAAAACTTGGGTTGAAAACTACATCTTCATTTATAATCCTCGGTCAGCATAATAGTATAAAGTGCCCTACTATTTTTCGCCTAGATGTGAATATAGTCAGTAGCTCCGCTTTCAAATTGTCTGTAACGGTAGGTGGTAGGATCAAGAAGGGGAGCAGATGTAAGTTCAGACCACTATCTAGTGCAAGGAACCTTCAAAATCAAGTTGAAAGCCTTCAAGGAAGTTGGTGATAGACCACAGTTCAAGTTCAACACCAGAAATTGAAGGACGAAACTACTTCACGGCAGCCCTCAGGAAAAAATGTGAAATATCGAGCAACATCCCTGAAGAAACCTGTGTGGATAAACACTGGAACTCTTTGAAGGAGATGTGGAAAGAAACCTGCATAACCATATTAGGAAGGAAGAAGCAAGAAGATAAGGAATGGATCTCGACGGACATATGGAAGCTGATAGGGGAGGGAGGGAAGATGGTGAAGCAGAAGATGAACCAGTGCAGTGCAGTGCAAGGATGAACAACGAGAAGGCGAAATGGATACAACCTATAAAACACTACACTGGACAAAGAAGTAAAGAAGAGTGCACGGAAAGACAAAAGACACTTCTACGAAACACTGGCAAGTGAAGCAGAACAGGCTGCAGATACAAGAGATAGAGACCTGACAACACTATATCAAATAACCAGGTTACTATCTGGAAGGGAAGAGATCAACGCAGATGAGACCAGTGAAAGATAGTGAAGGAAACCCAGTTAGCGAAGACAAGAAACAAAGGAAACAATTGGCTGACCACTTCAGAAAACTCTTGAATCGACCACTACCACCATCTGCAACTCATCCAGAAATACCAGCAGCGGCCCAGTCAAAGAACTACCAGTGAACACAAGCCATCCGACAAAAGCCAAAGTGAGGTTTTGGACGCCATAAAGTTACTGAAATACGAGAAAGCAGCAGGACCAAATAGAATTCCTTCAGAAGCACTGAAAACAGACGTGGAGACAACAATGGACATGTTGACACCTCTGTTGCCGGAGGAGGAAGGAAGGAAGGAAGGAAAGATAGCTGCCGGTTGGTTGGAAGAAGAGCTACCTTGTCAAACTCCCAAAGAACCTAAGTGTAAGTGACCTTAGCTAAGTGTTTGAAAGAACTGGTGAGGAATCATGTTGCTGTCCACCCTAAATAAAATAATAAACCGCATCATCCTGGAGAGACTAGAAGATGCTCTGGATTCAAAATTACGACCGGAACAGGCTGGCTGGCTGGCTGGCTTCAGGAATTATAAACCATGTGCGGATGAAATTGCAACGCTACGCTACGCATTCATCATGAAAGAGAGCGTAGAATGGCAGTCAACTCTCTACGTCAACTTCATTGACTTTGAAAAGGCCTTCTACAGCGTTGACCGAGAAGTAATTTGGCAGCAGTTGCTTCAACACTACGTTGTGCCACAAATCTTCATGAACCTCATTGAACAGCTCTATGCTAAATGAGGCCACATGCTGAGTGATTGACAATGAAAAGCTGAGTGACGCATTTGAAGTGAAGACAGGAGACAGGAGTAAGTGAAGGTTGCCGCTTATTATCACTGATGATCTTCCTGATTTTGTTGTGTTGGACTGAACTGGATGATGCAAGAGAGGACTGTGAGTAGTGAGAAGATTGGCGTAGACTGGCTGAACCGATGAAAGTACCGCAGAGGAGGATTTGGATTTGGTCGATGATGATTTATGTTTAATGTCTGGTGTCACATAAACTGAAAGATGTACAGGCGAAAGCTAGCAATTTGATAGAAGAGGTAGGGTAGCGAAGTGAGATAGGACTTGAGGTGAATGTAGAGAAGAGAGAGTTGATGGTGTTACCCAACCAACAACAAGAGCATCAACAACAAGCAGTAATCATCATGAAGAGGAGAAACCTGAAGGAAGTTGTGTGTTTGACCTACGCAGCCAGACAAGGCAGCATTGTTTCAAGTACAGGCAGGGACGGCGTCATAGATGAGGATGTGCAAGCAGCCCAACCAGGATCGGAAAGACAGCAAGATAGGCCTTCCTGCATTAATCTAAAATCAGTGTGGAGATCTACTGCACTGCATTGCACTGCAGTTCTAAGTGTTGAAGATCATAGGTTATTAAAATACATGCATCAATAATTGTAACTATTGTTAGAAGTTGGATTACGAAGATGGGAACTATCTGTAGCACATCTGTATTCACAGACAAGCCTTTATAATTGTAGTTTACTGTTTTGGGAAAAATGACCAACACTGTAGTAATTGATGATAAAATACCGAAAGGGGTAGGCTTTTTAATGGCATTTTTGGTATCTTTAAGTTTACCTGGTATTTTTACATGTGGCTTACTGTGGAGGCAGTTAGTGGTGTTTAATTATTATATCTCTACATTTTTTCCCGAGTTTAAAAGATACTTTCTGCTGTATTCGTGTATATCCATATATTCCTCCCTTTCTTGTATTCGGTATGTATTTAACGAGTCGAGTCGTACTTTTGTACTACGTTTCATTTTCGAAACACGTTAGTTGTTTTAACTGAGGATATCCATCCACTAAGGTTTCTAACATTTATAAGTCATCAGTCCTATTCTCGTATTTGGTATCGCGCAAACCCTTGTAGGAGCGTAGTTATTCCAGCACATCCTTATCAATGTTGTTACGTGGGCATTTGGTGATATACTACTAATTACTCTGACCATAAATGTGTTTTATTCATCTTTCTTTATTCCATGAACCAAATTTTAATTCTGTTTACCACTTTTAAACATCACCGGATAATTCAGGAAGATGTAACATTGGTGCCATTGTAACGCCCTGATCTTGTCAAGATGAGAATGATAAACGTTTCGCTTTGCACATTTTTAAAAAATTCTTACTTTGTATGAAGTTTTTGTTTTGATAAACTGTAGGATAATTTTTAATCAGTGCGAGTAAGCTAATCTGACTGGTTCTATCAAAGGTGGATTCTAAACAAACGAAGTCCATACGTCTAGACTTGGAGTGTACTACATTGTCTTTTGCTATAAGGTGAGAAGTTTCATTTACCACATTTCCATCAACATTCAGCTGTATAGATTCAGGGCTTTTTTAACTACTCCTAACAGTTCATCTCTAGAATCGATCGCTAAAAGTACATACCGTACTTAAGGATATTTAAGCAACCTGTAATACGGTCGAACGGTAAAATAATACCTTTTATGCATTTATTATTGAATACTTTTTCGGGTTACTAATAATTACCGTAACTGTCTACTTAATTCAGATTTATCCCGAGAATGATCATAAATGGCAACGTTAGAGAGGATTAGGGACGTTAGGTGAAACTGCTTAATTACCCCGTTGATTTAGAAAAATGTAGAGACCTTATAGGATGCTCGTGATTTATTTGAGTTTTCTAATATAAAATTTCAGGATGCAAATAGACTCCGTACAGAACCTGCGTTTACTTGTAGATTAGATTTGTTCGTTTAAAATAACACAGTATTATTTACTTGAAAACATTTTGAGGATAAATCATAATTATATCAGAGCAATCACCCAGCTGTTAACATATGAAAGAGAGAGGTCGATTACTAAGTCATTGTTCATTGAATCAACACCCGACACATGTAATAGGAATGACGCAATATATGTACCGAAGATGTGGGAAATTTTTTACCGTCACTAAAAGCAATGAATGAGGTAATAGGACCATATAAATCAGATGCTGAAAGTTGTGTTATGGCTCTGATATGACTATAAGCAATACTTTATGCTCGGAACATCATCAAGTAAATAATACTGCATCACTTTGTGCTGTTTTAAACAAAAAATCTAATGTGGAATTCCATCCTATCACAGCACCCAAGTTTTACATTGATACTAATGAACCTTCTTTTACACTTGCCATATACTGAGTGATAGCGTTACAACATTATCTCAGTTTATGCTTGCTGAAAGGAGAAATCTCTAGGTAACACGTTTACAGGGATTATTTCTGCAGTCGACAGAGCATTTCTTGATTTCTATGCTGCGTTAATTTTGTGTTTCGAAGAGAAATAAGTTATGTTCTTGCATAAAATTGCGGACAATCACCAACACGGCTGTAACATCTCATATACGGTTATGTGGAATTCAATATTTATTAACAGTGAAGCCTTATAGAGAGTCCTTACCAAGTGTATCGTTTCCAGTTTGTATCAGAATGTCACCATAATAAGTGACAAGTTCAAATGACGTTAATTCTTTATTATTGGTTGGGTCAAATTTCACGCTAAAGGACAACAGTATTTAAGCAATAGTGAAATAGTAGGTTAAATAATGATGAAGTGTTCAACGAAAACGGTGCTGTTCGTTTTTAAATTCAGAAGAATTTGTTGAATATGCTATAGATGTTGATTGGAAACGGAGGAGTTGTGTTAGTGCTTTAAAATACTTAAAGAAACACATTTCCTTAAAGGTTCAAACCTGCACCACTCAGTGCAGAAGTAAACGACTTAATCACTAAACTGTCCAGGTGGCGCTTCGCTGTGCAAAGATTTAGTACAAATTAGTTGGTGACTTTTTTAAACTTAGAAGTTCTGCTTAGCACATCTGCACTGTATGCAATTTAATGGGATTAGTTTGATCCAGTTTAATTTATAACGTTTAATTTACTGTAGTGATCGTTTTTTTATGTTCTCGGTATTTTAGACGAACAGTGGCACTGGCAGTCAGTTGATGAGTCTATTGTATTACCTGTCTTCAGTGAAACGAAACATACAAATCTAAACTTCTGCAGCTTGTAAATAACCATGACTTGTGCCTAACAGGAGAAGGGATTGAATTTTTATCAAAGTCAAATCCAAATTTTCTACGGGAATTAATTCCTAAGGTTAAAATCTATGCTCGTGTCGCACCGAAACAGAAGGAAGCTATTTTAATTAAACTTAAGCGTATGGGATACATAACACTCATGTGCGGTGATGGAACAAACGATGTTGGAGCTTTAAAGCAGGCTCATGTTGGTGAGTAAACTTGTCTATATACTTAACGAGTTTACTTAACTGAATTTAACTAGTTTTTGTATAGTGTTATTTTGTCGCTGATAAATGTAACCATAAAGGGAGTAGCTACTGTATTATCCAATTGATGTGATCCGACAATTTACAAAAGTTTTGAATTTCCGTTTCGATTTTACTTAGGTCACTAATAAATACCACATCTCGAAGTTATCCAAGCTAGAAAACAATAGCTAAGTATGAATTATACTTTTCCCATTAATTCGGGCATGTATAAATGAAACTCAGTTATATGTCAGTTTACGTGAATTGCTGTTGTCACCTGTGAATGTATAGCCACAACCTATCTCATTGTACATTGTCAGATGGATTAAGATAAAGGTCAAAAAAAGGTAATAGTGATTATACGTAGGGGTGATGTTAAGAAGTCAAGACTACTTCGGATTTTTGAATCGGTTGATAATTTGACACAATCGGTTGTAATTGGATTACAGAATTTCCTTCCTTAAAATCGTGACGCCTATTTTTTATTTTGTTCAGCTTTCCTTTTCGTTTACTTTAGTACCAGTTAAAAAAATTGAAGTTAACAGTTCAGCAGAAGCATCTTGCACTTTTGAAATAATCAGCGTCGTAGTATTCATCACGAAATGACATCAGTTGGAGAACCATAGAAAACCTGAGAACACTAGATAGCTATTTCTTCCTAGTATGGGACTCCTTGGCAGTATGCACCCGTGACCCTGCCAAGGATCTTACTCAGGACCTTCAGGTTTCACAGTAAACACGTTAACCATTCAGATACTGGGTTGGAATTCAATGATCCACAGTTTCTTGTTTCTGTCAATTCACGATACAGTGTGACTATCATCGAAGGTCTTTAGTTGGCCTCCGCTTCACTTCCGACTGGTTGAGCCCACGGGTTACGGCTTCTCATTAGAACATCGGGATATCATTATCGAAACATTTTGGTCCATGTTGAATATTACCTTGAAATAAAGTTCCCATAAACCTTCAATCAGCACCCAGTATATATATATATCTCCCACACTTGCTTTTTGTTGTACACTAGGTGTTGCACTGCTGAATGAAATGCATACACCCACCTTATTGGATTTAACTGAGAATAAACAAACAAACGTATTACCTGCGAAGAACTCACGTCATGCTAGTCATAATGGCTTGATCAATCGTTCCGCCAATCGGGGAAATCGTGGAGACATAAGTTCTGCAAATCCAGGTGTAAACAGTAAAACTCAAGCTTCACGTTTGGCTTCCACTTTAGCTTCTGTTGATGGAGAGCAGGAAGTATCAGTGGTTCGTTTGGGTGATGCGAGTATAGCAGCTCCATTTACTGCCAAAATGTCTTCTCCTAGTGGAGGTAAGAATGTTTAGTGTTAGCTTTATTTTCTCGCTCTCACAGTTGTGAAGCATTTGACTGAGTCATAAAGCATCCTATGTTTTATCCTCAAATCTTTTGAGAAACTCTTCAATGTGGACTGTGTAATTTGTAGATCAGTTGCGAACACACGTTTAGTCAGTCAACATCAACGACGGCACCGAGGATTTCTCTGTAACGGTCCAATTTGCTACACCTCATAACAGAGCATCAATATACAAGATGATAAGACGAAAAAAGAAATAGATCATAAAATAAAAAGAACGGAGAATGAAGCAAATAACTGAGTGTGCCATCGTGGTTGAGATAATGAGATGTATATATATTTTTATTGTTGAGATTGATTTTGAGCTATCACCTGTAGTCGTAAACAGCCAGTTTTGGTTGTAATGCACACCAAGCCACAACGCCTGCAGTTGCTCAACCCAGGATTTAGAGATTTCTTGGATTGATACCATGTTTTAGAGTGATGACTTTTAACTTTATTCCAGCCTAGCTCTACTTCAGCTAACAGTGTTGGGGTAGATTTTAATCGAGGATATGTAACACATGTCTCTCTTTTACCTAAATATCTACGTAATTTCACGGAATGCAAGCAGTTCTACAAAACCAATAATTGTTGAACGCTTGAAGCCTTTTCATATCCTTCATCTTTGATGGCTATTTTTCGCAGCCTTATAGTTGAACAGAGTGAACTGTGTATTACACCTGACTTACATTAGGTAATCGGATATCTCTGATGCTATAGATATCGTAAGTTGATAAAAAAGTAATCGAACCTTTTAGATCCGTACCGAGATTTTATCCGCTACTGACCCATCAGGGCTGATCTTACCTTTTGCAAAAGTGAAGTGGTGAAGCACAGCCAAACATAATAATCATAACAGTGATGATAGTTCTTTCTTTTAGATACAAGCACATGTCAGTTTACAGACATGATTGTATATTTATACCATTTCAAATGTTAAGTTGTAGGTCATTGGTTTACGGGGTCGACTTTCAACCAGTGGGTTACAGGTTCCAGCACCGGTCTACCTACCAAGGTTTAGACAGCCAGGTAGTACCACTAGCCTTCGCACAGTAGATATGGCTCATAACCGGTTGCTTAAGTGGTCACAAGGTTTCTGAGTGGATTTCCACTTTTTTTCCAAATGTTGGAACTTTGTGGGCATTGATAAATTGAAATTATTTACTCACTATCTAAAAAGGAAGTGTGGTACAGTTTATAAAAATATCAACTTTTGGTAATAGATAGATTCCACACAAAATAAAACTCATCTGAAGAATATTTCACTCAATAGATGATGAACCACACCTAATGTGATACTACCTAGCTATCCATACCTTCGGTACTGAAACGGCGTGACCCATTGGTTAGAAGTTGAGTGCCTAAACCAATGATCCATAGCTCCTCTGAAGTCGTTATTTCCCTGTGTCTGTTGCCATTCCTAATTATTATTGCTATTATTATTAGGTCATAATATCATGCATTTAGTCCACTTAATGAACTTGAGTAGCACATTGAGAACACCTTATGCAGAGCAAGATAACGTGAGATGATGATGAGTAAACAGACGATGTCGAGGCTCCCGTATAAGAGCCCATCTGCCAACGAACATCGATCAGTTGGACGCTGTATAGCAATGGGAAATTACAAGTATCAAACAACAACAAGGTGACCTTATTTTATGTCATGAAACTTTCGTCAGGTGGATAAATAAGCAAATAATCACAGTAACAAATAATGATACGCATTATGTAGAGCACCTTAAGAAAAGGTTAGAACTCAGGAAAACATTGCAGTTCAGAACACAAAAGAGGTTTAGGTAGTAAATTAGGTGAATTGGATGAATGTTATATAATGGCAAGGTAAGGTATGTTCACGAATGAGTGAGACAACAATAAGTATAGGCGGTTACGCAATTATGTGAAAATAGTCTTTTAACAAAGCAGTAGGTAGGTGAGATAAAATCATCGCAATAATAACAGATGCGGTAACAATGAAGCGAATTTCGCAACGTTGTATTCCTTATTCTTAAGAAGTGAGACAGCAGGTGACAACAATGCATTTATTGCTGCTCCGAACTGGGGTGGGGAGAGGCAATAAGGGTAAAAACCCTTGCGTATCTCTAGAATTTTAACAGATTGACTTGCAGATAGGCCATCTGGGAACGGACCATATTTAAAATCTGGTAGATTCTCAAGCTCTCCAAATAGTTAATTTCTCGGCGTTTTTGGATCGAATTGTCGATAAGTAGAAGCATTTCCCAACAGAAAGGTGGGTTTTACAGCTTCATTTCAGCCAGTTGATGCTGAGCTAACAGACACACTTTGATCCTGCATGTATGTTTCACAACAAAACATGTGTCCGTGGTGTGAAATGCCGGAGTCCTGGTTGATGAGGCTTATTTTACAATTTAGTGAAGATATAAGGCTTTGAAAGCCTTGCCTTATGATATAGAGTATCGTCTCAGGGGACTAGCGTCTCTATTCCGTGAACTGAAATCATAATGATGAATCGCAGGAGTAAGTTAAACTAAAGATGGTGTAGGATTGTTAACAGTGGTGTCTGGAAAACTTAGAAGCCAACAATGTGGAAGGATGATGGTGATCAAGTGAGACTTGAGCGATGACAGATGCCTGAGGACAGTTGATACTTCGAGACTTACCATAACGTGGAAAATTACTTTTTGAGGTAACTGAGAGGAAAAGTGTATTAATAAGGGTGACCTTAACGATTTGGTTGTGTGACCTTAATTCCGAAGTAGCATCTTAAGAGTCATCGCATACTACCGTGTCACGAATTTTTAACTTGGAATCTATTGTATTACGCTTGAACTGGAGAAAGCCATGCTGCCAGCGTGGAAAGAATTCAGGTTATGGAGAAGCGGACTGTTTTTACGGTCAATCTTGCCTAACTCCTCCTTCCGACGAGAAAAGACATCAAAATCGTCTATTAATTTTTCGTGGGAAACATCCTACAGTTATCATACGTCGTACAACCAACAATACGGCCTTGGAGTGACTTTATCAACTACTAGAATAACGAATCAGGCTTGTAAATTTTGCCTCAAAAGTTAAGTTTTTTATAAGCTCTAAGGAACCTTGTTGATTATTTCAGCCCTTGTTAGCATGGCCTTTGAAATCACTCCGACCATTGAAGTTTTTTGTGTTCATGTAAATTATTGTTTGTATTTCATCTATTAGCCTGCCTTTTTACTGTTGTTGCAAATAATTGTGCTCATTTGTACGATTACTTTCTAGTATGTCATATTGTTATGCAAGGACGTTGTACATTGGTGACCACACTGCAAATGTATAAGATATTGGCGATTAACGCATTGATAACTGCTTACAGCTCATCAGTTCTATTCTTGAAGGGATTTAAGATATCCGATTCTCAAGCAACTATACGAGCCTTACTGTTATCAGCTTGCTTCTTGTTTATTTCGCGCTCGAAGGTATGTAGCGTAATCCTTGCCCGTATGTGTCCACCTGCATCTATTTATTTTTATAAAATATTATGAATGTAAATTATTACTTTAGTCCCTTATATATTTTAAAAATATTTTTATCCCAGTCTGGAACTAATTGGAAAAATGTTTGACCTCCGTTTGAAAATGTTCAACAATTGGGATTCATAAATTTCATGGAATTTACAACCAGAATAAATACTTATTAGGCTCTCTCTCGGTTGCATAATCAACCATAATTGTTTTTTGTATTTCACACTACAACAATATCTAATGGATGCATCACTTTGTGAGACTTAAAACTGAATGATAAGTTATTTCTTGGGTATAATGGAAACGTGAATTTCAATGTTTAAATATAGTAGTTCTTATTCATAGTGTTTATTTGTGGGTATCTAACACTTAACGGTTGCATCTTTACCAACTGTGTTTTCTCCTAAGATTGGGTTTTGTGTACTACTGATGACGTTGTGAACTTTAGTCGACTAAGATAGCTTGGACATATACTGCGCATGGCTAGCTACTACTTACCTCGATGTGCCATGCTAGGTAAAGTTGGATTAGGTTGGAAGAAAGCTCAGGGTGGTTAGACCAAGACGTTGCATCAGTTGATGAAGTCTTTGACTGTTGACCTGAGCCGTGTGGGAAGATGTGCATTGCCTGAATGGGGTCCGTGAGACAAAAGGAATCAATGGTTGATAACTGTTTGTGATATGGCTGGAAATCGGTCACGATGGGGGAGGTGTATTCACCCCTTGAAACATTTTAAGGCTTGAATATTTACGCTTACCTTTATCTTCGATTTGCTTATTCTGTCCCACAACTTTTTCTACTACTACTGTAAAGTGTGGCAACTTGGGCTGACGCATTTGTGTGTGGTGTTTTACCTTGATTTTGGCTGTCTATCTTTCTCCTAAGGAAGGAAACCTGTTGTATGTAGAAATCTAAACCAACGGTTGCTGCTGTTTTTTGTCTCTATCATTTTAAGTGTTTGTTTTAAACATCGGATTTCCAATCAAATCAGTACTTTTAATTAACATCACTTTCAGTGTCGTTGATTACATTGTGTCCTATACACTTGCATAACAAGCGCAGCCTACAGTATAGTGTTACTGGGTCTAGTTATACTGAAATCAGTTTTTTCCATCATTTTGTTTGAGTAGCATAATCAGTTCACAAATAATGACTTACAGTCATCTAACATATTTACAGGTCAATATGTCATTTGAAAGATAAGTTAACTGCTTGGAATGGTCAGCGTTGAATATTCTACTTAGATTTCTAAAGATAAGTGGTCATGATTACTTATTGTTGATTTTTTGAGTGCTGTTTATCTTTTAATTTCATTTTGTAGCCTTTGAAAACTCTTTCTCGTGAACGCCCTATACCGAATATATTCAATATGTACACTTTGCTAACAGTGTCCCTTCAGTTTCTTGTTCACTTTCATGTGCTCTACACGTTAACTATGGAGGCGGAATCACGAATGCCAAAAAAGTAAGTCATAAGTTTTCATTAGTATTCGTTATCTTTGGAGTGATATAAAGTGTTATAAGCTTATAAGTTCACTTGTTAAGATCACTCCATTTGTCGAAAATCAAATTGCACTCAGCACTGTTTTGCACATTCGTGCAGTAGAGCATAAGCCACACCTAGCATTTGAAGGTTAATGATACCACTTGGTTATCCAAACCTTGTTTGGTGGAGCTGTACTCGAACCCGTGACCCCAATGGTTGAAGTTCATCTCCCTAAACCAACAAGCAACAGCTCCACTACTCCGTCGGTATTTGATTGTTACAGATGTTGTTATGTGTAGGTTTCAGACAATACGGAGATTTTCGAAGTACCGTCATTGACGATATATTTAATAGCATTGGAATTTTTACTAGGTTCATTAAGTAGTATTTCTAAGAATAACTATGATTGAACGTGCACTATTTGCATCATTTCAACCTTCACGTCACTAATTAAGCTACATTATTATTATAGCCACCATTATTGTGATTTCCACCTCTCATTATTTAAAATAAATCTTCCTCATGGATTGCAGTCTTTAAATATCGTATATATACATAAAAACGCCTCCTGGTTAACTAGTTACTAGCCGGTCCTAAGCCCGGATTAAGAGGGGACGTTCGAAAAAGGGCTAGCAACCCTACCCCGGCAAACCAATCCAATCGCTAAATAAACTTCAAAGCAGAAAGAAAATACAAAAAGTAAAAACAAACTTATTCCTCGTTGAATCGGAGAGACGGAGTGACGCCGGTTGGTTAAAGCCGACGGGAAGCCAATTGGTCGATGTGTCTTCTCTCTCTCTCTCTCGATAAAAGCGAAAGTAAAAATGGAGACGTGGAATGTTCGAACAATGTTTGAACATTGAAAATAGCAAGGCTGCCCAGATTCAAAAGGAGATGATATGCGAAGGTATGGCATAGAATTACTACAAACCTGCGAAAGTAGATAGAATGTAAGTGGACTCTCCGAACCGTCAACTGGAGAGTCAATAATCTACTCCGATATTGTCACCCAAACGACAACCACGAGCACACTGAGCTTTCGAGGGGCTATCATGATGTCCCCGAGAACATGGAAGGCTCTCATGCAATGGGAACCAGTCTCCTCCAGGATCATGACAACGAGATTATAAGATGTATGTAAGTTTTGTTTCATAAAATAATTACTCAAGCTGATCAATAGTTCTGTCTGGTGATTGACACGATTAAAGTAGGACATCTAGTATCAGTACATGGGACTTTATGCGAAATTATTCGCCATACAGAACTTCATTGTAATTCAATCAACTCACATGTGTAATCTATAGCAATCAATCTTCCATCCAATTGGATTGTTTACTGCTTCAATCGAAATTTTTATCATTCTTACCCATTTTTCGATACTCACTGATTTCTAATGGGTGTCGGTTTATCATATGAAGAACAGATACTGTATCAATTCTGCAATACCGTGCAAAACGATGTTACCTAATAGAAATTAATGGGTGGGAAATCTCTGTTTGTTGGCACTCATCACCACCTGCAACTCATCCAGAAATACCAGCAGCGGCCCAGTCAAAGAACTACCAGTGAACACAAGCCCTCCGATAAAAGCCAAAGTGAAGTCCTGGACGCCATAAAGTTACTGAAATACAAGAAAGGAGCAGGACCAAATAGAATTCCTTCAGAAGCACTGAAAACAGACGTGGAGACAACAATGGACATGTTGACACCTCTGTTGCCGGAGGAGGAAGGAAGGAAGGAAGGAAAGGTAGCTGCCGGTTGGTTGGAAGAAGAGCTACCTTGTCAAACTCCCAAAGAACCTAAGTGTAAGTGACCTTAGCTAAGTGTTTGCAAGAACTGGTGAGGAATCATGTTGCTGTCCACCCTAAATAAAATAATAAACCGCATCATCCTGGAGAGACTAGAAGATGCTCTGGATTCAAAATTACGACCGGAACAGACTGGCTGGCTGGCTGGCTTCAGGAATTATAAACCATGTGCGGATCAAATTGCAACGCTACGCTACGCATTCATCATGAAATGACAGTCAACTCTCTACGTCAACTTCATGGACTTTGAAAAGGGCCTTCTACAGCGTTGACCAAGAAGTAATTTGGCAGCAGTTGCTTCAACACTTCGTTGTGCCACCAATCTTCATGAACCTCATTGAACAGCTCTATGCTAAATGAGGCCACATGCTGAGTGATTGACAATGGAGAGCTGAGTGACGCATTTGAAGTGAAGACAGGAGACAGGAGTAAGTGAAGGTTGCCGCTTATTATCACTGATGATCTTCCTGATTTTGTTGTTGTGGACTGAACTGGATGATGCAAGAGAGGACTGTGAGTAGTGAGAAGATTGGTGTAGACTGGCTGAACCGATGAAAGTACCGCAGAGGAGGATTTGGATTTGGTCGATGATGATTTATTTTTAATGTCTAATGTCACATAAACTGAAAGATGTACAGGCGGAAACCAACAAGTTGACAGGGGAGGTATGGCAGCGAAGGGAGACGGAACTTGAGGTGAATGTAGAGAAGAGAGAGGTGGTGATGTTACCCAACCAACAACAAGAGCATCAACAACAAGCAGTAGTCACCATGAAGAGGAGAAACCTGAAGGAAGTTGTGTGTTTGACCTACGCAGCCAGACAAGGCAGCATTGTTTCAAGTACAGGCAGGGACGGCGTCACAGATGAGGATGTGCAAGCAGCCCAACCAGGATCGGAAAGACAGCAAGACAGGCCTTCCTGCATTAATCTAAAATCAGTGTGGAGATCTACTGCACTGCACTGCACTGCATTGCACTGCACTCAGCATGAAGCGTGAACAAGATCTGGATTTTGAACACTAAGTGAGTCAAGTAAGTCAGTGTTTGTATGTGATGGTTGAGAGAATTGGTGTTGTGTTACGGAATGCATTTCCAACAAACTACAGACGTTCATGAACAGTTGCGTATGCTGAATGCTGAAGATGAGATGGCCAGAAGAATGAGAATAAGCAAGAAGGAACTGTGAGTGACAATGAAGGAACCAAGAAGCTATCGTGAAACAAATATGTAGTGGAAGGGAGTGGATATGGATTGGATTAGGCATACACTGCGAAGACTGTTTAGAGACATCACGCACCAGACCAGGGCAGGCTAGGCCAGTGCAGTCTGTGGAGTGGAATCGAAATGGGGAATGACGAGTTGGGCGTTGGAGGTTGGGTGACATGGAGGAGATCATGTGAGGAAGGGATGAAAGCTTGTGGGCAGTGGTGGAGCCTAGTTGCATAACTGTTGAGAAGACAGCTTTAGGATAAATTCGTCCGAAAAAATTCCTGTTTGCTGGATATCTTTTTTTGATGTCTGAATGGTGATTGTGAATATATGCTTGATATAGTAATATAAGCTCCTATAAGTTGGTAGCAAATTCTGTGGTCTAATTGGCTATCGTAGAGTTATGTCGTAATTAGTAAGAAAACGAATGCTAGTTATCACAATATCGAAGGTAGTGCGAAAGGAAGTTGTTTGTTTAAAAGGACTTGATTTCACACTATCAGTTCGATTCACTTTTGTTGTTAACTTTTACAAATAGACAACATGTAAAATTATTAGCCTATAAATCTTAAACTACTTATCGAAATTTGTGACTTTCTGCTAAGTTAGTTAGTTGAATGACGTGTGAGTAAAACTAATTGCAATCACAAACGGATTATTCATATTCAACGAGTATTCTTGCCTATTCGGAATTATGGCTTTTTGTTGTCAGTTTATTGCATCATTATGTTAGACGGCATCACAAGTATCAATCAGTGTTAGAAGTGTTTTATTTTGGAGAGTCCTGTTGCTTCCGAAACTATAATGTCGCAATTTGTTATCAGTTGATGATATGTTATTCGAGCTCCGGAAACATTGGGACAATACACCCATAAAGTGGAACTAGTTGGAAGCGCAAATATATTCACGCTTTTTTATCAAGATATCAACTCTCATCCCACTCCTAATAATTGTAATGAGACTCTCTCTCTTTACTCTTTATTTGGTTTGACGAAATGCCGCAACTTTTACGTGGAAACTATCGAGTTTGATGAAAGTAGGAAGGCTGAAAGATATGAATGGTGGGATCGTTCGTATCACGAAATTCACATTAGTCTAGTCATGGTTGCAGTTGCTTCTTGCTGCACCGATAAACCAGCAGCCTGTGCCAGTCAGTCGATTCCGATTATTTTGCATATTCTTCGTACTACTACTTATAAGTAGCCAGATTGTGATGGTGGATAAATTTCGTGATAATGCAGCGACTATTTCGATTTTGTATCATACTCAATTAAGCGATTCTTGTTTCAGGGTTGATAATATGCTAACCAATTACTTAAAATAAATGTGATAAACCGCTCGAAATGTGTGAAACAGTTCTTGGCTGTTGAATACTTAAGCTAAACATCAAAGCTGTATAAAAATTTGTGGTGTTTTTCCGCAAAGGGGCATGTCGAGCGGTTTCAGCCAGTTGACATACATCTTACGAAGTTATATTGGCTTTGAATGTGATTCAGGAATTCGAATACTCTCAGTAGTAGGGAAATCCGACTTTGTTCCTTATTACTCCTTATGTGTTTACTTTAAAAGCCAAAGGCCTTTGATATAATTGAAAAAAGACACCGTCAGTGTGCTCACTTACTTGTCATTTAAAAGCACAGATATTCAGTGAATTCTAAGTTTATTAAACTATGCGCTATAAGTTTGGTTATTAGTACCACTTTGCAGCCGTGATCCACTCAGTGGATAGTGAATCTGAAGACCACTATGCGTCAGACAGTCGATACCTATATCATTGTTAATCTTCACATGTTCGTTGAGTTATAATAAAACGTATTGTTATTATGTCTTACTATATGAATACCTCTTGGGTATGTTATACTACAGTATTATTAAAATGTATCGGTTTAATAATGTTCTTTGTAATTACTTTTTCATTTAATTTATTCTTTTTCATAAACTAGAGAAGATACTACTAGTGAACAACATGAGTAGTTAGACACCACTCAGACTGGTGTATAGTATTTCACTAGCCAGATCAAAGTGATCTTGATACCGGAAGGCCGTTTTGCTCGTTTTTGGCCGAGCTTATGAACGGTGTACCCGAATCTAATCCGACCTGATCGGCAGTGTTACAGATCTGTCTGACTGGTTTCTAACTACTCAAGTTGTTCAGTAGTAGTATCTTTCGCTAGTTCATGACACTTTTGTATCAGAGGTCAGACCTTGTGATCTCGGTTGAGTGGTTTCCGGCGGAAACCTTGGTGATACCACAGTTAGGCAGTTTTAAAACTACTCAACAGGTGAGTATGGCAACATGGACCGTAGAGTTTGTGAATCATTTGAAAATCGCTCATCATATTTTATTGTTTTTCTTCTACAGAGAGGATGGATTTATCGATCTTAATGCCGAATTTGAGCCTTCACTTTTAAATACTTTAGTATATCTCATTGCAACTGGAATGCAGGTGAGTAAACGTGTGATTTACAAATATGATTTAATATTTTCAATAATGGTATGCTAACCGTTCATTTGAGCAGATTGTCTCGGTTTTTTTCGGGAGTGATTAATTTGAGTTTAGCAGTTATATAGCCACTTCTCGTCTATAAGAATGAGTGTTATGTACATCATTAAAATGATTTCTTTTGTTAAATCTTTGGATCATGAGCACTAGTTGAGCCTATTTACAATGTGAAGATTTGCTAAATGTTTTTGTTTCTGGTTAGAATCTACTATTGTCTTCTTCTTTTATCTTTCAGTTTTGAAGGCTGTTCTGAGGTCTTTATTAGTGTGAGGTGTTCACAACAGAATTATAAGCGTTTTTCTCTAGAATTTTATGTTCATGATGATAGTGTTACAGTATATAGTGTGGATAAAGACGAAAACATGCCCCCTGCTATCGTCATTTGAAATCTTTCGTGTCTCAGCTTGAATTCTAGCATCCATGTACTTGGTTTATTAATGTAGTAAATGTCTTATGTGCTAAATGTGTTACACTACTATTAATTCCAGGTTGATATTCATCATGAACTGACATCAGTTGGAGAAGTATTGAAAACTAAACGAACGAAGCAAGTCTGTGCAATAGACAATGAACAAAAATTATTGTTGTGTGGGCTAGTGATACCACCTGGCTGCCTGAACCTAGATTGGTGGAGTGGGGCTTAGAACCCTGACCGGGTGATAGAAAGTCACCTCCCTGAACCACTTAGTCACAGCTCCACTAAAGAAACATCAGAAAGATAGGAGCATTAGACAGCCGTTTCGTCTTAGTATGGGACTCTCCAACAGCACGTTCCCATGACCCCACCAGGGATCGGACTTAGAACCTTCACATTCGACTGTCAGTATGTTGCTATTGAACCATTGGGTCGGAATTCAATGGTCCATATTTCCTAAAATTAATGTTAGAGTCTAAAATAACCGTCTTTTCTATCCACTTATAGGTTTATGAATGTAGACTGTACAATAAAAAAATGAAATCAGAACAATTCATTCTGTCAAACTACTTGGAGATAGACAGTATGTTGAACTCCATTATTAGCAGTCTCTTCATATCTGCATAGATTAGTTACAGCTGATGAAGTAATTGAATGTGTCAACCTGTTTTATATATATATATATATATATATATATATATACACGCATATTGAATGATGATCGAAGGTGGAGTGAGAATCTGGGTCGCGACAGGATTCGGACCAGTGGCCTCCGGGTTACTGGCCCGGTGCTTTACCAACCGAGCCACAAGACCCAGCTGTCGATCAATCTATGAGCAGGTTTCCGTGTGTGTTTGAGGTTGTAGTAGTAACTAAAATAAGGGTATATTATTTTCTGTGGTTGATTTGGTTTTCATGACCCTATTTATTATTCTCGAGTTGGTTACCAAAGAGTAGTTTATGTAGCTGTCAACTTCTTAATGCTCAACACCAACCAAAATTTGTTGATTAAAACCGACAATGGGGTCACTAAACTAAGCTCTGTTACTCTTTGGTACGTCATTATAGTGCTAAGAACTTCGACACCAAGTGATAAATCGTAAAGGCAAAACCAGTTTGCTTATGATTGCATATAGGTCTTGCTGATAAGTGTCAAGAAGCAGAGATTTTCCGCCCATTAATTTCTATTAGGTAACATCGTTTTACACGGTATTGCAGAATTGATACAGTATCTGTTCTTCATATAATAAACCGACACCCATTAGAAATCAGTGAGTGTCGAAAAATGGGTAAGAATGATAAAAATTTCGATTGAAGCAGTAAACAATCCAATTGGATGGAAGATTGATTGCTGTAGATTACACTTGTGAGTTGATTGAATTACAATGAAGTTCTGTATGGCGAATAATTTCGCATAAAGTCCCATGTACTGATACTAGATGTTCTACTTTAATCGTGTCAATCACCAGACAGAACTATTGATCAGCTTGAGTAATTATTTTATGAAACAAAACTTACGCGCATCTTATAATCAATAACGAAAATAAAGAAAAAGGCGTTACAGCTAAAGGCCAGAACTAATAAGTTTCACACAAAGTTAAAGACACTATAAGATAAAAAAAGTGTATTCATAAATAATCGAAAACTAGACAAGAAGGGAAAGCTGTTTTGACAGGATAATTTACGATGTACATGTTGTAAAAAAGGTTTCCAAATTTAGAATTGAGATATTGAAAGGTTGGACAAGCCAAACTTCCATGTATTCACTCATCTAAGAGCCTATAGGCTATTTCATTCTATAAGCCAGATACTGATCAAAGTAGATTATATGTCCGAAGAATCTTTCGATAAAATTCATCTGTGTACCGATAATCGGATCGCCTATTTCTCGCTACTTCCTTAATTTTTTTTTTAGTTCGTATAGTCAGTTGATTATAACTGACTGTTTACCTGCTATTCTTCACAGTATATATCGTTATCCTAAAAAGAACTATCTGAAAAGTTGTCAACAGTGTATTGGTACTCCAGTTACATAATCTCTCTCTCTCCTCAGGTTGGTGCAATTTATTCTCAGCTCCCAGACTTGACTTAGTTCTAGTCATCCACAAATAAATTTCTTCTTCATTAACGTATTGTTCATGTGTTTAGCCCAAACTCCACTCAAAGATTTCCTAAAGGAGTTCATTTATCTTAATCCCGTATCTCTAGTTACTGCGGTGTGAGATATTAAAATACTTCACTTTTTGTCAGATATCGCTCTTTTACTTGCCACCTCGAAACCTAATAATGATAAGTAAATATTTTCCCCACCAATGTTGTTTTCAGCTTTACAGAAGCTTCAGCAAAATAAATGCAGTTCAAAAAGTACTATTTCATACAGCTTTTCGTTTATTGAGTGATCGGCATCATGACAGCTGACCGTCATTGACTTCAGTATAGTGATGTTTTCCCCTCAAGTGCATACTATGTCCTTTCTAGTACAGCTCTTACCAAATCAGAAGTAGAGGACGCTTTCAGAACATAAATGTGAACGGAATACATAAATGTCATTTACAAATAATATTTTACTGGTCATTATTCAAGCAGTGTCATTTTCTATTCATCATTTTCGTAAAGAACTATGGTAAATTGATTGGTTAGTTTTTCGTGATCAGTCCAGGGCAGAGTCAAAATACACTGATCGGTCAGTAGAGAACAATCAATTTCATGTTGTTTAGTCCTAACCGCTAAGAAAGTTCCATCAGTTTCTTAAATACTGTGGTCATCTAGCTAGGAGGCTCGGAATCACTGATGTCCCTTAAGTGATCCTTATTCGTGTTGCTCAATGTTGCAGAGGTGTTCTCACTGAGCCTCCACCGGTGAGTGCCAACAAGCACGAAACGTAGGTCAATCAGGACTCATTCCCGATAACTTCCAACCAGGTGACTGGGAGGAGTTAAACTACTGGATAAACTTATTTCAATTGCACATTGGCTTGAATTGGTCGATGGAACTTGAAAGCTTTTCCTTTTATGAAGCGATCAGCTGAAATATTGGATATTTTAGACATCTGTAAAAAAATCGTTCGATGAGACTCGTTACTGTAAAGTATCTGCTGCTCATTGGTTTAGGGAGTTGACTTTCAACTAAAGTGTCAGTGCTTCGAGCACCACTCCATCTACCGAGGTTTGGGCTCTCACACAATAGGCGTGGCCTACTGCTGAGTGGGTTTTGTGACACAACCATATTTTTACATCTCGTCTGGTAATGTATAAAGTGTAGATAAGGTTTACTTGGTGTAATATTCATATGTCAAAAATGTTGCTACTTATCCGTTTATTTCGATACTTTCTACATATTACTAATGCTCACTTACACGTATATATGTATATTATTATTTGTATATCATATCCGTGATAGACTGCAACACTAGCTGTAAACTATACTGGTCATCCATTTATGGAGTCATTGACTGAAAACAAACCAATGTTGATTTCTTTGATTGTTGCTGTGGTGGGAATTGTGATTCTGCCGTTCGGTCCTTTTGCTAGTGCACTCCGACTAGTTAACTTGGATAATGATGTAAGTTGCTCTGTTATGTCTATTTCACTTTAATTTTAACATTGGTTCTTTGGTCAATTTGATATTCATATGTATTTTTGAGAGGTTCTGTTTCGCAGTTAACAGTATGATTTATCTTTAGTAATTATGTGTATAGGAATTTGCCGTTGATATTTGTTTTTGTTTGGTCTTGTGAACGTAATTCAATAGTAGGAATTTTATTGTTTGAAACAATTAGTCACTTTAATAAATTTCGATAACGTTATCAGAAGACGAAGATTATCTGAAAAATTAAGATTGTTATTAGCAGATCTATCTATATATGTCACATATTGAACTAACGGCTCACTATTTAATCAATAATGTCACATTCTATAGAAGGTGTGTTGATGATGATATCATTGTAATATGTGACACAGATGAGGATGACGTGGGTTAGTTAACAAGGCTTAATACTGTACAAGATCATATCAGCCTGACGTGTGAGGAAGAAAATGATCATCAACTTGCATTTATTGATATAATCTTGTGTCAGAGGAAAGATGGATCTATCAAACGATCAATGTATAGAAAACCTAATTGGACGGGACAGTACTTGAGTTTCTACAGCTTTTGTCGAATGAAATATAAGAGAGGCTTAGTAAGATGCTTATTTAATGGGATTCAACGTATTTGTACATCTGATACAATGGATAACGAGAGCCAAATCCTGACACACTTATGGGAAACGGATACCCATTACACCTTGTGAACCATTGTAGAAAACAGCTAAACTCGAAGCCTATAATTTCCTCGGTCCCGAAGAGGGATATATTTCCTAAAGTATAATATTGAAACAGAGGTAAATATCTGTTATCCGTAAAACACACTATGCAGCTCGTGGTTGAGACAACAAACACCTGCTTCGCCACAAACGTCAACCTCGCATAAATGATTATGTCACATCCCACTGTTCACCTATTTACATGTATGTATGGGCACATATACCATAGGGAGGAGTAATCGTTCAATGCAGAATAGGTTAGGTGAACACATACTTATTATTATATTATTTCCCCCTGGGTTCCTAGTAGAACATAGGGTTTCAGTAGCTCGCCTCTATTGCACTCTGTTCTCTGCAGTCTTGTGAACCTCGCTCCACTACTGCCCACAAGCTTTCATTCCTTCCTCACATGATCTCCTCCATGTCACCCACCCTCCGACGCCCAACTCGTCGTTCTCCATTTGGATTCCACTCCACAGACTGCACTGGACTGGCCTGGCCTGGTCTGGTGCGTGATGTCTCCAAATGGTTTCCCCAGTGTATGCCTAATCCAATCCATATCCACTTTCTTCCACTACATATTTGTTTCGCGATAGCTTCTTCGTTCCTTCGTTGTCACTCACAGTTCCTTCTTGTTTATTCTCATTCTTCTGACCATCTAATCTTCAGCATTCAGCATACGCAACTGTTCATGAATGTCTGTAGTTTGTTGGGAATGCATTCCGTAACACAACACCAATTCTCTCAACCATCACATACAAACACTGACTTACTTGACTGACCTAGTGTTGAAAATCAGGATCTTGTTCACGCTTTATGCTGAGTGCAGTGCAGTAGATCTCTACACTGATTTTAGACTAATGCAGGAAGGCCTGTCTTGCTGTCTTTCCGATCCTGGTTGGGCTGCTTTCACATCCTCATCTGTGACACCGTCCCTGCCTGTACTTGAAACAATGCTGCCTTGTCTGGCTGGGGACACATACTTAAACGGCTTGAAAAGCAGTTTAACACACAAACATTGATAAGTGCAGTTAACAGTCATCTATCTTCAGCTATAGCAAACATAAACGAAATGAATCATAAGGTTAATACGGAAAGATCATTCATGGTATCATATAGGAACAATCAGAGGCACATACTGAAATTTCCCGGAGCGTTAGCGATTAGTTAACTTCAGCCCCTGTTGTGTGTACAAAAACAATTTGTTGTTTCACTTAATTTACCTTGGTAATCTTTATCTGATTATATTACGAAGACTAGTGTAACAACCTTTTCATATTATACTTGACCTTTCATTTTCATATATAAATTGACCTGGCAAGTAAATGTGTGATGAGATTGTTCGAAATGTATTGCGCAAATACACATCACATTTTTCTTCGTCTTGTGACAATGTTATCAAAATCTTATTGTTTTTTGTTCAAATAAATTAACTTGTAAAACGAAAACGTAAATATTTATCATCTCAGTTCGTGTAATGCTAAACGATGGAAATGTACTACTTACACTCTTTAAATTACTAGAATTATATGCTAAATTGCTAGTGGGTTATATCTGTTGTTTTCAATCTTCATCATTCTGATTAGAAGATTATTGAAATTATTTCGAAAGACATCTTCGACCTTGCTAGAAGATGTTTGGTTAAAAGATTCCAGAAAATCCAAAAGTTTTGAACTCGTTTAGGAGAATTCCTTTCTATTTGTTTGACTTGAAAGTTACAATCCTAATAAACCTGTTATATGACATTAATAAAATTGATTATTATCTTCAGTACGCTGAATATAGGAAATCTTACGTTTGGACATGTAGACTTTATAAACAGTCCTCTGACTCTCAACTTAAAGTTAATAACTACCGTGTTACGTTGTGCGTATGTACAAGGATGAAACGTAAAATAAGTTGGCTTATTTTTCGTTTTTCAAAGGAAAGGCTTTTTCGGATTGTAAAATGTCAGATTAACACGAAGTGATCCACTAATTTTGCTTTTGCTTCACTGTATACCTATTAAGTCTAATCTTATGTTTTAATTTGATAATGAAGTAGTTCATTAGTAACGTATTATCTGAGAATTATTACCAATCTTGCACTGTTTTCTTCCTAATTATATGATGAAATATAGAACACTCATTTGCATGTCTACTTCGACGTGCTATGCTAGGGCAAGTTGAATTAGAAGGTTGAGAGTGACCAAACCAAGACCTAGTACCAGTTGATGAAGTATCTTACTGTTGGTCTCAGTCGTATAGGGGATATAGACTGTCTGGTTGGGGTCCCTGAGACGAAAAGAATCCGTGGTTGAAAATTGTTGGTGACATGGCTGAAAATCAGTCACATTGGAGTAGATGTATTCACTCCTTGACATCTTCTAAAGCTTGAATATTCACATTTACCTTTATCTTCAAACTGTTTATTTTGTCATACAACTTTCCCTACTTTTATATCACTGTTTCTGTCTACCTTTTATTGGTATGCTGCTGTGAAGTGTGACGACTTGAGCTGATGCATTTGTGTTCAGTGTTCTACGTTGATTTTGTTAGTCAGTTAGTCAATCAGTCACTCATTTCCATATTTGGTTTTCAGAATGTAAAGTAATCTGACCCCCCTTCTCTCTCTCTGTATATATATATATATATATATATATATATATATATATATATATATATATATATATATATATATATACTTTTTATTTGATTTTAACTTAATTGTTGGTTTTGTTTTTTCTTTTACTTCATCTAGCTTCGGATAATATTTTTCAAGGCACTAATATTTGACTTCGTAGCTTCTTGGTTAGTTGACCGTATATTACTGTTTATATTTGGTCGAGTCAGCCAGAAACCACTTTAAAACTGAGTATCTCAATGAATAGATACGATTTCGTATACATACGGACTGGTTTTATGGTAATATGGAGGATTCTGTGTGTGTATATCTGTATTTATTAATAATTATCCTTTTTCGGTTTATTATTATTATTATTATTATATACAAGGTTATTTTAACATACAATTCTGTAGTGTACTTCTTACTGGACGGTGTAATATTCCATATTATGTTGTGTAAAACTTTGAATTTCTCTACATTTTTCACTTTCTTCAATTTTCAAACGTGTTTCTTTAAAGGTTAATCCTACTTTCTTAAAAAAAATACCTTGCTTTTTTTTAATGCTTCGTTTTATTTCCTGGTATCCACCAAGCCTTTAATAGATAATGAATGTGTAAGGTCTTTCATTTTGTTGTCATTGTTGGTGATAATAACTATGCTTGTGAATGAATATGGCATTGTATATACCTATAAATAATTCTTGTTAAGAGGTTAAGTGGTTAATTTTTTCTATACTAATACTAATAACAATTGTTTGTTGTGTACAGCATGAAAACATACATTTTCGAAATTCATTTTCGATCAGGTATTTTTTGTTCTTCTTGTATTCACTCGTAGCTACTGTTTCATTCTTCATGGCTTTCTCTTTTGCCTGTCTTTGTTTCTCCCTTTTATTCTAACATCTCTTCTTACTTTTTTTTTACAATGTGTGTGTGTGTGTGCGTGTTATTGTATACTCATTGAGTTTGTTAACTTTTGACAATACAAACATTTCTATTGATCTTTCAATCAATATTTTGACACTAGGTTAAATTGATTTAACCATATTTGTTGGTGATGTATTTTACCATTGTCATGATTTCGCATCCTGTTTATTGGTGATGAAGAGCACTGATCGATACTTGCCATGTTACTTCGAATTTTCACTTTTATTGCAGTGATGAACACGTATAGTTGTTATTTGTTGTTGTATTTTACTCTCAAAGTACCTGTTTGATCGTTTCATGTGTTGGTTTTGCTTTTGTTGTTAGCGTTCATGTATTAGCTACAGCTATCAGTTGATGTATAAAGAAGCAAGTCAGAGTTTATATTCGATTCAGTAGTACTCATTTTCTAGGTTCTGGGACGCAGGCATACTTACAGACGCTAAACAATAGTTGTATATGGTGACCTAGAGGCGGCATTCTACTATGTCGATTAAGAAGTCTAATGACAGTATCTCTCACTGAATGGGGCACTAAGTAAGTACGTCACCTTATCGAAGTCTGTTTACTCAAAACCCTGTAGGCGTGTTAGAGCCTATGGTGAGATGTCGAGTGGTGTTCATCAAGGCTGCCCACTATCTCCATTCCTATTCAGTCTTATCATCAACATTTATAGATGTCTCCTTTTCATCTGATTACACAGAGATTGCCCTAATAATAAGAGAATCTTCGCTAGATATAGAATAAGCAGATGACATAGTCCTATTCGGGGAAGACGCTGACAAGATGCAGAGTCTTCTGGACGCTTTGAGTGGCAGTTTGAAAATGCTTGCGATGCGTTTCTCGCCACCCAAATGCAAACTGTTGCTCCAGAACTGGTCTGCAACGATGCTTCAGTCAACAAATAGGTGCGAAATGGTTGAACAATTCACTTACCTGGGAAGTGGGATCAGTCCTGGTGGTCAGTGGCTGAAAAAATCTCTGCACGGATACAGAAGGCTTGGTTAGCGTTTGCCAACTTATGCCACCTGTGGCGTCGTCGCGATATCCGATAGCCTGTGAAGGGTCGTATTTGCTGCACACCAGTCCCCTCTGTTCTGTTGTATGGTTATGAGACATGACCATTAAAGATAGAAGACATGAGAAGGCTTTAGGTGTTTCGCCACCATTGCCTCCGTAGCATAGGCCGTGTTTTGTGTCAGCACATGAGTAACGCAGAAGTCAGGCGTTGAGTTTTAGGGAGGAGAGGTATGACAGTTGATGCGGTTGTAAACCATCAACTGAGTATGACTAGGACATGTGTCACGTATACCTAGGCACCGTCTACCTCGTCGGCCGAAGTAGGTTCAAGCTAGAAAAAGCTTGGGGTGGTCAGACTAAACGTAGCATCAGTGCATGAAGTCCTTGACTGTTGGTTTGAGCCATGAAGGGCGATGCAGACTAGCCTATTAAGGTCCGTGGGACAGGAGAAACCAGTAGTTATAGACCTTAGGTGATATGGCTCAGAACCAATGTCAGTGGTGCAGATGTATATACACATTATCTTCATTTTAACCGCTATACTTAATCTCATCATTTTCTTGTTTCCCCTTCCTCTTTTTTATTACTTTCTACTTCTTTTGACCGGTTTTACTTCCTTTCTTCGTCTTCCATTTTATTGCCTTGTTGATATGGGATGTGGCAACTTAAATCGCTACGCAGTAATGCCTAGTCCTATGCTGATCTTATTAATTTCCATGTACGCCGGTATTGACGATTTTGACGTTCTGTAGATTCTTGCTATCGCATCTTGTGAAATTTACCCCATTGACGACAGGTGAGGCTAATAGTTTTTTGTATGCACATCCAAGTGACAATTGTTGGTCAATAGTATCAAAATTATAGCGTCGTGATTAGCTAAAACTTGTCTTCAGTCTCTACAAAATCGGTATATTTTACAGCATAATACAAATACTTATTAATTAATTGTTGGTTAAGGAAATGTGGTCATACTTTTGTTGAGTAGGTTGTAATATCGATTATTCGTCTTTCTTCCGGTGTTGTCTGAAATTTATTTACAGGATTTATGTGAAAGATTAGACTGAGTATTAAGCAATATAAGTACTAAGTGCCTTAGTTGAAGTTAGTACTCTTTCAAACTGCATAGTAACAGACGATCTTGTAAACAGGGAGCATATGCGTGAGATGATGTTTTGGATGTTAATAGAAAAATTAATTATCTACTTCATTATGATAGATTCTACATCATATCGGTTAATAGTTCGCTCCTTGTCTTCGTTGTCTTATTTGCATTAAATGGGTTACCTACAATAGCTCATTTCAATCAATACAGTGGTTAAATATCGTAGTGATGTGTTTTGCTCTGATCAAAACAAGATGTTTGCTCTACTTTATTCAATTTAAACGCTTTTATTAGCGGAATAAAGAAAGACTGGATGTTCGTCAACGTAAATAATCATGATATAATACCTCATTACAAGTTCATGCATAACAGTCAGCAGTTTGTTCACCTAAACTGTGCATCATATTCAACCCTGTATTCATGGACAAATAGACGCCTAACTCAATTAGTGAGCCAGGCTTCAGCAACAGTATTTCCTGACAGCTATACGTTAATATGTAAACTGCGTTTATTCCAAACTTTTAGGAGAAAACAGAACTAATGAGATCACACCTTTTATGTGTTTTCCACCTACACTACTAAATGTGTATGGTAACCTAATAACAGCATAAATGGAGGAATAAGTCAATATTTATGAACTAAATGATTATGTATGCTAGAGTCACAACTTCATTTTAAAGTGCAGAACACTTAATAAGTTTGGGTGGGAGGGGATACAGTAGTGCTGTTTTTGTCATTCAAGATTTCACTTCAAAGTCAAGCATGTTTACAAGTTGAGCAGAGAAATTAGAATTCAATAATCTACCTTGTGTGATGTAGTATGTAGTTGCTTTTGAGTGAGACTTAAACGGATGTTTTTCGTTATTTAAGTTGCAACGTGCTGAATGGAGATATCTAGGCTATTTGGATTCAGCAAGCAAACTTCAGAATATTTCGACTGATACATCTGTTCCACCATCAAGTCTGCAGGATAAAGTAACCTTTAGATACTGTATAGGCATGGCGGTTTGACTAAACTACTCGAAAAAGGACTGCTGAGGCATCTGAACATGCTAAGGAAGCTTTTTATCTATCACAAAAGCAGGAGGGAACGTGACAGAGTGTCAGACAACATTGAAGGGGTATGAACTTGGACTAGAACAAATAAAGATCAAACAAGACTGACGTTGAAAACCTTGGAAAACAGGCGTAGTGTATGCAAAATTAGCAGCTATGCGAAGAGTGACTATTCTGTTTGAAATTGACCGGCACTGTAAAAACGAAATTCATTATAGAGATAGGGATGTGTGGTTAAAGCACTTCTTTCTTAAGGATAAGGCTTGTTTCAAACGATTTCAAATAACATTCAAAAGGCAGAGGTGAAAAATGACCTACGATCGTAAACGCATGATTTGACAAGAGAAGCACAAGCATTCTGCACCAAATTATTTATGTCCGCATTTTTGTAAGACGTGTTCTGCGTTTCTCATTTACGTATGAATCGCCCCAATATGACATTGAGGTTGGTCTGACTAAATATATTGCTACTTGTTAGATCGATGGAGGTAGTCAGTAAGAACCCCTGTTCTGCCTGAGTTTCGTCCTTTGCAGTCCTCGTCAGCAAGGTGTATCTGCAACCGCTAAGCAATTAATCTCCTGCTCAAGATTTGAACCAATGCAGCAGTTGGACGTTACCACTGAGCTATTCAGGATGCGACTGACATCTTACAGGACTGCATTAAGTACATTGATTAGTCAGTGGAGGGTAACCGACTTTAGGTTGTCTAGTCCTCAGTGCTTATTGACTTCTATGGATCATTTTTGAATGTGACCACCAAGCTAGGCGACTCAGCATCGCGATGCATTTTGAAAGGCCTTAATTGGATGAAGGCAGTTAGTAGGAAGCCCTGCTCGACCTGGGTTTCACATTTTCTGGCACTCACCAGAGAGTCGTACCTGCAACGTCTACGCATCTGATGTTCCACCTGATATTCGAACCCGCGTCACGCAGCAGTGCAGTGAAAGTGCATCGCAATGCACAGTCGCCTGGCCTGATGACCACATAGCAAAATGACCGACAAATTCCGATCAGCATTTAGGACCAGGAAACATGAAGTTGGTTACTTTCCAGTGACTAATCAATGTACCTAACCCAGTCCTACAGGAGGTCAGTCGCATCCCAAATATCTCAATGGTATCGTCTGTGACTGCAGCACTGG